AGCAATTTGTTCCACTGAGAATATTGTGACGTTTAAAATCACACGTTTTCATAAACACTATTAAGAGCTGGTGCTGGGGTACACAGACGAGGCAGAACCTCTGTGCTGGGAGGAGCCCCCGCAGGTCTGTGTGGGCGGGAGGCTGCTCTGCGCCCTGCTTCCCGCGGGGCTGCCTTCGCGGCTGTGGGTGAGGATGCAGTCCAAGTCCCTGCCTTGGGAGCGCAGTCTCCTGCTGGCCTGGGGAAGGGGACGTCTGAGAAGACAGTGATGGGTCCTCATCCTTCAGGAACCCTTTGCTGGCGCTGAAACCTGAGGACACTCTTCAGTGGCTGTCTTACAGGCTGTGAGCCTTGATGATTGGGAGGTTAGAGTGTCACCAGTCGTCAAGTAGTCATTTTCTGAACTGCTTCCTGCTCTTGGCGGACTGACTCGCTGTCTTGTGTGGTAGATGCAGCACCTTCACTAGAAGAGCAGGAACACCTCCGCCGCCCCCAGGTCACTGCCAGACGTGTTACCTTTGAAAGAGAACGAGCAGCAGGAAAACCCCTCCGCTCATAGCATGTTCTCAGTGCTTGTGTCCACCGTGCCAGGCACAGTGTAAGCACGATGTGAACATGACCAAGTGTGAAGTAGGTGCTGTTACTGCCAGACGGAAGGGACACTTTGTAGGAGACGGGGTCTCAGTGAGGTGACCTGGCCAAGACGGGGGGCAGCTGTTTCCCAGGGGCCAGCAGCGGTGAGTGCCGGCGAAGGGCGTGTGGATAGCTGTACTGTTGAGGTTTCCTTTATTTGGGGAATAAGCATTGCAGAGTAATGCTGTCACATCAGAGGGGTCCCCAGGTCCTGGTTGGAACCCTCTGACCTGCCACCTCGACCTCAGCACTGCTCAGGAAGCTCTCTGTCCCGTTCCCCAAGTCCCAGCGCTGCACGGCGGCAGGGAGGCCAGCTCGGCCTGCCACGGGGGCGGGAAGGGGCTCGATTTAGGGCGGCTGTGCGGAAAGCCCCAGCTAGGAAAGGAGTCCACCTGCTCCCGGCGGGAGGCGTCACCCCATATTTTAAAGTGACTGTTCTGACAAACTGTTTGGTCTTTCTTTTTTCCAGACCATAGTCTTGAGTTTACTCATGAGATCCATTGGAAATAAGAACACCATTTTGTTGGGCCTGGGATTTCAGATCTTACAGCTGGCGTGGTATGGCTTCGGTTCAGAACCTTGGTAGGTGTACTTATTTTAATTCCTTTAAACCAGTGGTTCTCAACCTTGGCTGCACATTAAAATCACCTGGGAATCTTTTTAAAATCCTGATTTCTGGGCCTCATCCTCCGGAAATTCTGTTCCTTTGTTATGGGGTGGGGCCACAACATTAGTAACAAAGAAACAGAATTTCTGGAGGCTGAGGCCCAGAAATCAGGATTTTAAAAAGATTCCCAGGTGATTCTAATGTGCAGCCAAGGTTGAGAACCACTGCTTTAAACTGTTGGTGTTAGCCTTATTTTGAGATATAACTCCGTTTTTTGTAGTTCTTTATTTGTGTCTCAATTGAGGTTTAGACCTCAGTCTTACTGTGCTTTTTCCCCTCAAACGGTAAAATACACATCTCTCCTGTGTGTGAATGTTCTAGGATGGCCTGGGGACAGAGGGGCATTTCATAGCTGACTCACAGGCTGGGCTTTGAACGAGGTTATGGAGCCTTTGACTCTCTAATGAGCATTTACTGCCTCCATCAGTTTGTCTTTCAGAAAAAGCACATAATCCCATAGCAACTGGGCCTGAAAGTCAGTTACTTCGTTGGAAAGAGTTAAGTGGCCCCAGAGGCTATACCGACAGCAGCAGGGATCTGGGAGGCAAGCCCAGTGGTTCGGTCCAGCCTCCTGCTGGACACGTCTCCCTTCCTGCCAGGCTGGCTCCCTGCATGAGGGAGGGATGGGTGTCCCCGTCCTCTGGCGTCAGGACTGAACTCCAGTTTGGACTAACGTTGCACAAGCTGAACAGTCTGTTCTGGTGGCATTTGTTTTTCTAGTCCAGGTTTTAGGAGTTGTTCACAGTTTATAAAACATTTATTTCAAACATCAAACCAGGAGCATCCAAAGTTGTGATCAAACCAGTGATGCCTCCATTGAATCAGAAGTCGTGGGAACCTGTAGGAAGTTACTGACCTCACGTGTTTGGAAACATTTCCTGTTTGCTTGATACATTATTCTCCGCAGTTGGGGGGAGGAGGACCTTCCCAGGGTCTAGTGACGTGGCTTCCCAGCAGCGCTCACACGGTGCCCACGGAGACAGGCAGGGGGAGCAGGGGTCTGAGCTCTGCCACTCTGCCCACAGGATGATGTGGGCCGCAGGGGCCGTGGCCGCCATGTCCAGTATCACCTTTCCTGCCGTCAGCGCACTCGTGTCCCGAACTGCTGATGCCGACCAACAAGGTGAGTTGGGTTCATGGCAGCTGGGTGGGCAGATGTTCCAACCCTGTCCTCTCCTGGGGGACACACAGCCTTGGCTTCATGCTGACCCCTTATGTCTACGCGGGTGCACTAGACAGACCCCTGGGGGCGCTCCCGTGCAAGTCTCCCAGGCTCAGTGCAGACATGTATATTGTCTTAGCTTTGTGGTGGGAACACTTAATTCCTAAAATGCCAATAATTATTTGAAATGGCAACTAGTCATAAAAAAAGGGATCTTACAAGAGAGGCAGTGGCCACTTGGTTGGTAAATGAGGAAGGAATGCAAGTTGCATTTTGAATGAGATCATCTCAGAGACAAATAGGTACGAGAGGGCTACCCTTGACTACTGGGGACACAGTTGTGCTCCTGAACTGGCCGGACTCGTTGCCTGGGAACCTCGGCGGGTGTGTGTGTGTGTGTGTGTGGTGGTGGTGGGGGGGGGGGGATAAAAGGCTTCTGTGCACTGTCGCTGCGTCGCCCGAGCTCCCCTCTGCACAGCCGGTCACGCTGTCAGCCGATTACTGCGATGGCACTGCCACTGCAGCAAACTCCCAGCATCTGAGAAGGGCTCTGGCTTCCCATGTTTGGTGCAGGTTCCAGGGTCGCCAGGACCCGAGCTGCACTAAGTGATGCTCTGTCCCAACCATTCAGGTGTTGTTCAAGGGATGATAACAGGAATTCGGGGGCTGTGCAACGGTCTGGGACCAGCTCTCTATGGGTTCATTTTCTACATATTCCACGTGGAACTGAAAGAGCTGCCAATGACAGGAACGGACTTGGGGACAAACACCAGCCCACAGCACCACTTTGAACAGGTAAAAATTGGGTGACATTCTCGCTCTTTTAGGCTGACTAGCACTTAAAAACCAAGGCCTGATGGGCAGTGCGTACTTTTTCCCCCCCGAGAGTTACAACGGTTTCAGCCTGCTGGTTTGGTCATACTGCGTGGCCCAGAGCAGCCTCCTGTGGAAAAGGCTGGGGCGTCGTTTGCTAGGCCTCGTTACAGCTGTAATATTAACGCAGACAGTACAGGCCACTCAGCAATTTCCTTGCTCACTAGCCTTGTGACCAGCTCAGGCTGGTTTCAGTGAGTCAGCCGGTGGTTTGTGGGCGATGTTAGGCCTGCAGTGCGAGTGCGGCTGGAACCAGGTCTGCTGGAGCTGCTGGCTTTCCTTGTGAGGCTTGTCCTGGTTTCTCCTGAACAAGCGTTAAGTGCAGATCCTGTGCCGCCAGTGACACTGCTTCTGCAGAGGCTGCTTTCTGGGGTCTTATCCCCAGGCCCTCATGAGGCTGAGCGCGCCTCCTTCCTCCTGAAAGGGAATGCTTTTCCTCATTGTGGCTTTAATGCTGAAAGAGAGCCACGATGGCTTAGAATGCATAGCGACCGGTAATTACTACAAGATAAGCAATCTCTCACGGACAGTGATGTTGGTGCAGAAACGCTCACTGACTCTCTCTCCCCTAGAACTCCATCATCCCCGGCCCGCCCTTCCTCTTTGGAGCCTGTTCAGTGCTGCTGGCTCTGCTGGTGGCCTTGTTTATCCCGGAACACACCAACCTCAGCCTGCGGTCCAGCAGCTGGAGGAAGCACTGTGGCGGCCACAGCCACCCTCATAGCGCACAGGCGCCAGGAGAAGCCAAAGAACCCTTACTCCAGGACACGAACGTGTGAGCGTGCGGCCGCGGCCAGGGAGCCTTCTCCAGCTGCACCAGGCTGACTGCGCCTGAGTGCTGATGTACATTCCACGTCACCTCCACACTCTAAGGGTGTCTTAAGGAACGGATCTGCATGGACTCCGGGGAACTAAAGAAAGAACTGGACAGTTTTCCAAAGATGTTACAATTTCTTTTGAAAAGAAACCTTTTGTTTAACCGCACCACTTCCTTGCCACCAAGCTGTTTATTATATATGTCCTTTCATTAAAGCTCTATCTGTGACTTCTTAGATACTAGCAGTGTCTCTGCTACCATCCCAGGTATTGGGCTTTAGGCTTGTCCACATCACAGCGGATGGAGCAGAGGCGTGGCTGTGGGCCTGCTCGCTTTAACCTTGTGAAACCTGGGTCAAATGATTCAAAGCCTTAAATGCAGATGCACTAAAGAAATGGTAAGGGAACGGTCTGCAGGAGAGAAATTCGAGAGAATTATACTAAACCTGAATCATGTTTCAAGCCTGTTTGTAGTCATTTTAAACATTCTTCACTACTGTTTTTAAAATAAAATGTCAGCCATGTTTCATTCAGTTGCGTGTTGGGAGCCTGTAACCTACATGTTGGCTCAGTTGTTCCCCAGCTCCTACACCACTACCCTTTCATGTTCGCAAAATCATAACCTCAACACTTGAACACATAACCGAAACCTATAGTCAAGCTGGTAGCCTTGAAAACGTCCACGTGATGTCTAATGTAAATACATATATATAGTGGCCTTTCAGGACTGTCACAGTAACACTTACTTACAGAGCTAATGTGTGTCCTACATTTTCAGGACCCTAGAGAGAGCTTTATACGATTCCTGATGTGAATTTCTCTAAAGTGTATATTTTTGTGTCCAGTTATATTATTTAAAAAAGTGTTACTTTGTAAAAATTGTACATAAAGTATTGTATAGTTTACAGGGTTTTCATCTTGTGTGTGATTATTGCTTAATGCTTTTTAAACTTGGAACATTCACTTATGGTTAAATAAGGTCTTAAAAAATGTAAATACTCTGTTAATAAAATTAAATATTTTAATGATTTTTAAAAGAAAGTCTTGATCTGTGATTTCCTCTAGGGCCAGTTTGGCTTTGTCACCATAATCATTTCTCAGTAACAAATCACAGCTTTATGCCTTCTCTCTGAATCCATTTCTTTCCCTTCACTATAAAATACTCCTGTAGGAAGACAGTGAAAATTTAATCCATAAGTGAAAGCAAGTTTCTAAGCAGAGATGTTGTGTATCAGTCCTTTTCCAGTTTTCATATACTTTTGTTTTTTTCATCCTCACCTGAGGATATCTTCCCATTGATTTTTAGGGAGAGTGGAAGAAAGACAACAAGAGAGAGAGAAACATTGATATGAGAGAGACACATTGACACATGTGCCTCCCGCATGTGCTCCGACCAGGGCCTGGCCAGGGAGGAACTTAAAACCAAGGTATGTGCCCTTGACCGGAATCGAACCCAGGACCCTTCGATCCGTAGTCTGAAGCTCTAGCTGCTGAGCCAAACCAGCCAGGGTCGTATACTTTTTACAAGTCCTACTCCCAAAATATTCTTACTAACCAAGCTCACACAGTTCACAGAAATACATTAAATTCAACATTCTGATTATTAACGTATACTTCATACTGCAAAACAATTTCAAATAAAAGTTTAAGAGGTAGAGCAAAGAATTAGCACACTCAAAAGTCAGTACAAGTATATCTAATATAAAATCTTTGGCACATCAAAGTGATCGATCTTTTGGAAATTCTAATTTATATAAAAATTTTAAAAAAGCTACCTGTATGTCATCCCATCCACAGCCTGTCCATATATGTTTACACAATGTTCACAAGAGCAAATCGACATGGCCAGGAGGCTTCTTCCCACACTCCGTAAGCACTTTCAAGGTGCTGTAACCAAGTGTTCTTATGCATGTAGGGTATGTAAATGAGGAAACAACTACATATGAGAACTCATCGCCCAGTAACGGTTACTAAATGTTTTAGGGGAGTTCCCTAGTTCAGGATACCTTGTCATTGCTAGCAGTTGCAAAGTATCAGATTCAATATGGCTTCATTAAAAAATTAGCAAAGATTCTTTGTCTTACCCTGGAACTGTTGATATGTCAATATCTTGAAATGTCTCTTTCCTTATCTGTATAATATGGTCCTTGAAAATAATTTTTGAAAGGTTAAATGAACATTAGCAATATTTATAAATAAAAACTGACTGAGGCGTTTCTTAAGAGAATGATACTCTTGATTGGATGATTGTCAATAAGAACAATGGGCCCTAAGATTCTGGGTGAATTTTTTTAAATCACCTACTTTTTCTCAAGAAACTACTCATATTTGAAACTTAAACCAAGAGAAAGTTGCCTACTTTATTACGCACACAATTAAACCCGTTTTGAAATTAAAAAGCAAGTACAATGAATATTCATGATGCTCTTTTGTATAGTACTAATTTTCAAAACAAAACGCCACTAATACAAATTTAACTGCATAAAACACTAATAAAACTCCAAATGAAAGAAAATTTGGATGAGCATAGACTTTCAGGAAGCAATAAAATCCTCTAAACTGCAGCTCAAATGACTCAAGCAGTTGATACCTAATCTGGTCACGTAAATACACGTCCAAGTTATTCAATAGCTAACTGAAAGGTTTCAAGGAAAATACTTGCTATAAAGGATTGATTTAATTTTATGACTTTTTCCCTTTACTGTACATTATCGTCGATAATATAGACACCTTAGGAGATAACCATCTTCCCTCATAATTCTTAGGTGAATATTTAAAACTTTTTACCAACGAAAATGATAAAACGAATTACAAGCATCCTCTGGCTCCCAGTCCGTCGGACAAGTGTGACTTTACCCGGCGTCACTGTGATTAGAACGTCCCTTCTAACGACCAACCCTTGCCTTGGCACGTGTAAGAGCTGCTCAGGCTGAGTTTAAGGAACCCTCACTGCTGTCCTGTAAAGCACCGTGTTCACACACCAAAGCCTGGCACCGGCTCCGAGAGCCTCCCTTCCCCAAGTCCCCAAGTCCAATCGGCTCTTCTGAGCCGCCCGCCGGCAGGGACAGCACCCGAGAGGCGCACAGCCTGCTGCCCGGCCAGGCAGCTCTGCCACTGCTCCGGCGTGCGTGTGGGGTGTCCCCTGCCGCACGGTTCCTCCACCAGGCGGTGCCAGCTCATGCGGACAGAGGGCACTGTTAGCTGTGCGGCAGCTGCCCCGGGAAGTACGCAGAGGAGGAGGAAGGGACCGAGGCGGGTTTGCAGGAAGTCTGCAGCGCTCCTAACGGGCCATCTTTCTGATGGTCTGCAAATGAGGAAGAGAAGGTGACTTGGACTCCCTTCAGCCTCGGTCCCCTTCCCTCCCACCGCAGTGGACGGGACGCAGAGGCCTCACCTGCAGTGCTGAAGAGATTCTGGCTGAGCCCCCGCAAAGGAATGCTGTCCTCCCTTTTCTTCAGATACTTGGGCTCCAGCCCTACATTTTCACCACTTAGGAGGAAAACAGTACTTATTTACTTAAACTCTTATTTTTCTCTTTAGTAGTTAATTGTGATTATTCATCTAATCTATATACTATATATATGTTTATAGTTTTGTTCAAAATAAGTCACTTTATTCACTGTTTTCTTCAAGCAAATAACTTATGTGCCCACAAGCTGCATTGCCCTTCTTCCCAGCAGAGTGGATTAGAACACGTAAAACTAAACCCGCAGAGCTGGGCTGGGGATGTGGGGAAACGAGCTCTCTGAGGACTATACACACCTCCGGCATGCCTGAGAACATCATGCCATTGAGACTTTCCTACCTCGTCTGTTTAAATGAATGCTTTCTTCTTTCTTTAACCAAAAGCTCTTTAAAGTCTGTGCTTCAGAGGGGTCACTAGATATCACTACACAGTCACAACAGGGATTCTGGTTAGATGAATACAAACGTGATATTTCAAAAAGAAAGTCATGTCCGCCCTTGTCTTTTCTCCTTCTGCCACTGCATCCCTTCTTCCCGACCTGCCCCGTTAGCAGCTTCTCTCGTAGCATCCTTGCAATAGGAAAGGAAAAGCTCTTGCTAAATGATGACCTTATAACCTTAAAATTAGAGGTCTTTTCCCAGTTTTCAGGAAAGATGAATAGGTATTTTTTCCATTTTAATGTTTTTTCTTCTTGAATCTTTGATCCCCACTGCCACTTCTTACTAGCTGACAACAAAACCTAACAAATTTCAACAGAAAATAGCTGACCAGTCCTACTTTTATGGACACGATTTCTTGATTTTTGTTCTGCAAATATGATCATCACACATTGTGCAAGTAAGCTGGTTTGGTGTGTGACCTGAGTAAGTATGTAAACATCCAGAGTGGAAAAGCAAGAGGCTCCCAGCGCTGACTGCTGTCATATCGTCGGGTGGCAGCTTTAGAGCAGCCAAGGACAACGGCCGGGAGCTGGGGAAGCAGCCTCTGCTAGTCTCATAGTTTAAATCCCCGAGGTGACCGCTCATGCCCACCAGTGCCAGCAGGTGGCCCTGAATGCCATCACATTGTAACAAGGAAGCAGGCTGACAAGAAACCAACGTTATGAACATGAAGACCAGTCTGCACATCTGAGCTGTTTAATTCGGCCACAAATCGCTGATTCGACGGATGGCAGGTGAACCCATCTGAGATCCAAGGGACAGGAAGGCGCTGGGCAGGCCAGCGGGGCTGCGCGGACAGGAAAGCTGACGTACATATGCATGTTCGCTGGGACAATCTCATCAGCCTGTACGCTTACTTGCCGAAGGGTCCCAGCAGGTTAACGAGCTGCTTCCTCAGGTTACTATCAGGAAATAGTAAGATTTCTAGCTACCTGCCCGCGAATATTTGAAAGGGGACCTTCAGTTACCTAGGAAAATCTTTTAGAAAATAAAATTTTACTATATATCTGACTGCATCCTACAGTTTCAAAAATATATGAAAAACCCCTTTCTTATAGCCAAGAGTGACTAAATTTAAGTTCCATGGACATCAACTTAAAATGTCGCAGATAAGTAGCAGGTGCCCTGGCTTTTCAGGCCCCGATGAAATGCTTTCAGATGATTTTCAAAAGGGCGAACATCCCACATTATGTCAAGGAGTACTTACTTTTCCTTATCAGCGGAGCCGGGCACACTAAGAGTTGTTCCTGACTGAATGTCCCCTGGTGACGGATTTGGTTTTGTTAACTGCAAGTTAAACTGAACCTGTGAAGCGAGAAAACACCTCATGTAACGAAACTGGTGAGAACGGAGACAAGTCTATACGGAGCGAGGTGCTTACTTTTTTTTCCTGATAATCGACAGCGCAGAGGCCCAGGCGCACTACAGCTCATAACACAGACACATTTCGTGGAGGAGATTTAACCTGAGCATATTTCTCCTTGCCCCAACAGTTCCTATCACACAAGCAAGATGAGCGGCGGAGACAAAGCACGAACACATTTAGACAAGTGTATGCACAGAGCTATTTAATAAACAAGGGCTAGGAATCGAATTTTCCAACAATCCATGTAAAAGTGCAAACCAAACACCAGCATGAGATATGGAAGTCTATTTAAAGACATAGCGACTGTGACTGAGTGGGTCTCACGCCAGGGATGTGTACATGTATCTACGTCAGGAAACCCACAAACACAAATCCCCACCAATGGATCAAAGAAGAAAAGGCACATGAAAACTGTCTACATGTGGTAAAAACTCCTAATAAAGCCGGCACAGACAGAGGCTCGTGTAACAGGATAGAAAGGTAAACGCTGCTGTCCTTGGCTATCAAGGTTCCACAGTCTCAAGATACCGGTTTTCCCTACAGCGCTCTACGCATTTAACATAACATTAAACAGAAATAGGACTTTTAAGAGCCACACAAGATGGTTTTAGAACTCCTTATAAAAAGTCAACATGCAAAAAGAGAGGCAAATAGTATCAGATATCAACGCATAATGGTTTCTGACCACCCATCATAAACAATTAGAAAACTGGACAAAACAAAAAGAATGTTACCAAATACTGGACCACACTTCAGAAAAATTGGGCAGTTTCTTAAAAATTAAATATCTGCCCCACCCAGTCATTCTAATCACAGGTATTCACCCCAGGGAAATACAAAGGCTGCACACCAACGTTCATGGCAGCTGTAGTGGAGTCAGCCCCAAACTGGAAATGACACAAATGCCCATCCAATGGCAGAGGGAGGAGCAAGCGTGGCCTCCCCACGCAAGGAGCAGCACGAGCAATCAGAAGTGAGGTACTGATGCGCACCACCACCCGACCAACCTCAAACCCAGTGCTGAGCGGAAAGACGGGAAAGCGACAGCCTGCCCGAGTCCATCACATCAAGTGCCGAGGCAGGTCACAGAGGCAGAGAGCACATCAGCTGCCGCTTAGCTGCTTGGGGACGAGAGGGGATTCGCTGCGGAAGCACTAGGGGAACCCCGAGGAAAGTGTAAGTGCTCTAGCACTGCCTGCTGTGATGCTTTCACAACTGTATACACTGACTGACATTATTAAACTGTAAACTCAACAATGGGAGATTGATGGTATGTAAATTACACCTTCGTAAAGTTTTAAGTTAAAAAGGCACCAGAAAGAGACTAAAAAGATAAGTCCAAAATAGGGAAATAACCACAGTAAAAATACAAAACCAACAGTAAATGTCTGGAACATATAAAGAACATTCATGGGGATGTGAGGGCGATCTGGCTGCGACATCTGTCACCCCATTGATCGCCAGGGTTGATTCGGCTGATCTGGCTGGCTAGGCGGGTGTCCCCCTCCTCCCTCACCGATCCATGTGCGTCCCTCCCGAAGCTGCGCGCTCGGTCGAAGAGGACGACCTTCCCCCCCGAGGAGAGGACCGGTCTTCGGTCAAGGGTATACGAGTAGCTGCGCTCCCCTGCTAGAACCTCCAAACAAGCTCTCAAGAACATTCATGGCATCATTTTATAAGGATTAAATCGCCCAAAGATGAATAAAACTGATAAACAGAAATTTAATAAAAGAAACATAGCCCATAAATATATAAAAAGATGTTCCCCACTTAATTACCAGGGAAATGCCAGATAAGCCAAAATGCCTACGGCCCAGTTACTTTCCAGAATTTATCCTACAAATCGACTGCGTAAGGCCAGAGACCGTTGCTGAGCACTGGGCGAAGACTGGCCCGTAGCAGAGCGCCAGCTGAATGAAGGGGCACCGTTCACACGCAGCAGACGCTAGCACAAGACCACCCAGTCAGCAGTCTCCAAAGCAGGCAGTGATCACAACTCCATCCAGTACGAGAAGTCCTATGATTTTGACTTACACACTAGACCAGTGATGGTGAACCTATGACACGCGTGTCAGAGGTGACACGCGAACTCATTTTTTGGTTGATTTTTCTGTGTTAAATGGCATTTAAATATATAAAATAAATATCAAAAATATAAGTCTTTGTTTTATTATGGTTGCAAATATCAAGAAATTTCTATATGTGACACGGCACCAGAGTTAAGGTTTTTCAAAATGCTGACACGCCGAGCTCAAAAGGTTCGCCATCACTGCAGTAGACAGTCAGTGATGTACTCATCCAACACATTACCTAATACAACTGACCAGAACAGTTTTTAAGATAAAATGGATTTATAAGCTAATAACTGGTTATATATGTTTCCTTACATGTTAATTTTCTTACCTTTGGTCCTGAAGCCGGGTGGATGGCATTTTTGGCAGACACGGGATGAGAGAAGGTGTTCTGGAAACCAAATGCAGAAGAGACAGGATACCCGATGCCACAAGTTGGGTAAGTCAGCCTACCATCAACCTAAAAATGAACACACACAACATTTAAGCATGAGAAATTGCTTCTAAATAAGCATCTGCTATAATAACTGAGTTAACAGCACTATCTCAGAGGCCAGTTTTGTTCATCACACCACAAAACTCCTCTTTGTTACACACCACGAGGCTGGGGTAGCTCACCTTTCCCAGGGGCTGGGCAAGCTCAACAGACCAATCACTAGACCTGCCTCAAACTATTTTTTTTAAAATTCTTTTATTGATTTCAGAAAGAGGAAGGGGATTGAGCCCACAACCCGGGCACATGCCCTGACTGGGAACTGAATCCAACGGTGACCTCCTGGTGCATGGGACGATGCTCAACCAGCTGAGCCCCACTGGTCAGGCTCCTGGGACTATTCAGACAAAGACTCGGAAGCATCTTGGTTCGATCTAATGCCCCACACCCGTCCTTAAAAGGGGGACCATGGGATAGATTCACAGATCAATAAACCAAACAGGGATAAAATCATTTTCTGCCAGTGAGTAGAAATAAGAGCCTCAGTGTTCTTAAACTGACTAATGGAGACCATTATTTGCTTTACCAATAATTTTCATTATAGTAACGACACCATTAACCAATGTCATGGAAACAATTTATTTAATGAGCCCAACTGAAACACAAATCTGTAGTAAATGTACATCAATGGCTGCATGACAAAAACACCCTTCACATGGCTGATCAGGAGTCCTTTCAACTTTGTAACTCAGCACCAGGCACTTCTTTCCACCTTTTGTACCTCAGCCGAAATCCTCCCCCTCCCCCCCCACATCCCCTTTTTTTACTCTTCACTTGAGGATATTTTTCCATTGAATTTCCCAGAGTGGAGGGGGAGAGACACAGAGAAACATCGGTTTGAGAGACACACTGATGGGTTGCCGCCTGCACAGGGATGGAGCCTGCAACCAAGGTACATGCCCTTGACCAAAATCAAACCCAGGACTCTTCAGTCCACAAGTTGGCATTCTATCCACTGAGCAAACCGGCCAGGGCTCCTTTCCCTTCTTTAAACACCAGGTACTACCTGGTTCACTAGAGCAGATTGAAACTGTTAGGCATTTGAGTTTGAGGACCTCTGCCAATGCACTCTGGCCAGGACCACAGAACACACCTATGGGTGGGCACGCTGGGCTGATTACTGCTCCTGGCGTGAGGAAAACCGCACACCATGAGGAACACAGGCTGCTGAAGTACTGACTGGAATGACAGCCATGTGCTGGATGACTTCAGGGACGGTTTCAGAAAGTGGGGCTTTCCTGTGGATTGGAAGCTATCAGGAGGTGAGGGTAGATGTCTGCCTGGTAGCTGAGTAAATCTCCCCTAAAGGCAGGAGAAATGCATTCAGGCCAAAGCTATAACTAGGAATAAAGCACTCATGTGACCAAGGATAAGATGGTTGCCCATTTTGTTGGTTTGGCAATGTCTGGATTTTTGTCATTTTTTTTCCCTTTTTCTTTTTTAATCCTCACCTGAGGATATGTTTATTAATTTTTTTAGGTAGAGAGGAAGGGAGAGAGAGAAACAAAAACCAGTTGCCTCCCACATGCGCCACAACCGAGGATTGAACCCGCAACCTTTTGTGCACTGGACAACACTCCAACCGAGCCACCAGCCAGGGCTGGAGTGGTCTTGTTTTTGTCTTAAGGCGGCCCAGTCAGAGTGGACTTGTCCGACGTCGACACTGTGAAATGCGTAGGTTCCACAGGCGAGCCCAAGGCCTAGCTGGGAGACCCAGTCCAGCTCCTCACAACACCTAGGTGCCATTTCTTGGAGGGAAAAGCAAGGGATCTGCTTCTGGGAACTAAAAGCTTCTATCTCGCAGCAGTTTTTTCTAGACTCTGGAATTGAAAAGCCTCTTAACAGGGCTTTCCTCTTTCTAATACAATTCCGTTGAGGTCCCTTCCACCGCAGTTCCCACTTGAGCCCAATCCTTCTCACCTTCCCAAGGCCTCCTAAGTGAGTGAGTGAGTGAGTGTGTGTGTGTGTGTGTGTGTGCATGTGTGTAAGTTTTCAGCGCATTTGGCAGTACTTTAGTTAATACTGAATGATTTCAATCTACTAACGTCTTACAAGAAGTGGGCCCTGGAAGTACAGCCTCTCTGTTAGAGCAGTCCACCTGTTCCACTTGCAGGGACATACTCTACTCAGTGCTAGTGACTGTGGACTCCAGGCTATCAGCACCAGCCTGTGTCATGGAGACTTCGTGACCACCTGGGGATACTTTTCGTTTTAGGGAATTTACTAAGACCTCTCCCACCTGCATTTAAATCTTACCATGTTAGAGCTAGGAGACAGTCCACTTCTGATCGTGCTGCTAGCATGTACCGGTGGAGTGGCAGAAGGTCCCAGCACGTCCTGCTTTCTCACTAGCTGATTATCATTTAGTTCTTTATTTAACCACGTGATCACTTATAGAAAACAACAAGAAACAAGGCAAAGAACTTTATTAAGCTACTAGTGACCCGTCGCGCGAAGCGAGACCCGGGGACCCCCACCCCACCCCCGCGCCATGGGACCGCCCTGAGTCCTGGAGTCCCAACCTGCGTGGCCAGCACGCCACTGGATGGCCCTGAGTCCTGGTGTGCCGCCACGATGTCCCGCCTCCGGGCTGCGTGGAGCAGCTACCGGACCCCGCCCCACTGCCTCGTCCCCGCTGTGCGTGCTGCCATCTTGTGATGGCATTATGGTGTGAGGGTCAATTTGCATATTATCGCTTTATTATATAGGATTTTATTTTCCTAATAATTTTAAATATTAAAAATTATGCTGAGGTTATTTTTTTAATTTAAATTTCTTAAAACTGCCTTATATAACAGGAGAACAATATAGGTTAATTTAAATTTTTGTCATTTAAGATTCTTATTAAAAAAAAAAAGATTCTTATTTTAGCACATAGAACTCCTTATTCTATTACTTCCCCAAGTATGTGTCTGCTAGTCACGGATCTCTTTGAAGGCTTTCATTTCAAGAATGGTATCTTACAGTTTATTTAAAGTTCACACTCATATCTGACAACCAATATAATAACTCAGAAAAATGTTAAAGGCTTAATTTTGTATTTTAGTTTCAAATAATTTATATTACAGTGGGGCCTTGACTTACGAGTGTCCCGACTAATGAGTTTTTCGAGATACGAGCCGTCTCTCGGCCGATTTTTTGCTTTGAGTTGTGAGCTAAAATTCGGGTTACGAGCCAGCTTCAGATACCCCACCGCTAGCTGGTGCAGTGAACATCACAGTGAACGCCACAACATCAGCCCAGCATCATGTGTCTCACTCGTTCACTGCTGATTTGACATACGAGTAATGTGAGTTACGAGCTCTGTCACGGAACGAATTAAACTCGTAAGCCAAGGCCCCACTGTATTACTATTAGGTAAATACGGCAATTAAAAAAGAGGGAAGAATTTTAAAAGTAAATTACAGTTAATATTTCAACACTTTTAATTCTGAGTCACTGATATAGGTGATGTAGTTTCTTTTAATGATGGTAACTGTTTTCTAGGGCAGGTGATATACTTTACTATAGCAAAGACAAAAGACAGTATATTTCAAGCAGAAATTATTTGCATATACCAATACCCTGATTTTCCTAGACTTTTCTGTGAATTTAAGTATGACATTAAGGTTATGAGTAAAAACAATGAATTTCATTTACATATAAAGGTAACATACTTACACTTTTCATTATTTTTTAGAAGCTGTTTGCTTTCCTCAAGCTTTTGAACTGTAGCTTCTAATTGTTCTTGTAATTTGCATACCTGAAATAAGTCAATCCTCGTAAGTATAAAAAAGACTATATTAAAAACTGAAGAAATGTACTGACTGATATTAATTTAAGAGTTCATTACTCTTATTATTAAGTAATGAAGGCTCACCTATTTAGGAAATGAACACTAAAGGTATGTGAGTCATAACTAACTTTTCAAACAAAAATAAGTTATTAACTTCTGTTGAATCTAGTCATGCTCTCTGAAAAACAAAAAGAAGCCAAAGCCATTCTTGACTATAACAAAGTAGAAATCTGAACTATACGTCTGAGGAAATGTGTTCTTTCACAAATAATCACACAGAGGCATAAAACGTGCTCCACCTCCTGCTCTTTACTTCGGAGAGACTGCCCAACTTCTTGTAATTCCTTTTGTTCCTTTTGTAATTTTTCTTCCTTTTCGGCCAAGAGTTTCTCTTGCTGAATGGTGACTGTATTTTTCAGTTTCAATTTCCCCATTAAAGTTTTCAGATCCCCTTGTAACTTCTTGATAATTTCATTTGCCTGTAAAAGAGCTTCATATGTATATTTCTACATAATCCAATAAAATATTAACATTCTGTTAAATTTTCAAAGACAAACCTTAAGCAGTTCCGCTGATAATGATTTTATGGTTGCTTCAAGTTTTCCTATTTGTACCTGATTTTTCTCACGGTGTTCTTCTAAAGCCACCTGATGTATTTTTAAAAACATGAATAATTAGGGCCCTTTTTGAGGAAAAGCATCACTATAAATGTGATCATCAATTTGTTTACAACACGGTAAAATAGACCTTCTGTTCCTGGATTGTATCAAATGCCTCTTTTGTTCTGAGGACCAGCTGGTCCTTGTCCTTGATCTCCTGTTCTAGAACAGCCACTTTTGTCTGCAGCTGATTAGCATGCTTCTCCTTCTCGTGGCACTCAGCATCTAGCGTCGAGTTCTCTCTTCGCAGAGACAGCACTTCCTGCTTGGCCCGCTGCAGCTCCTAGAGGTGGTAAATAATGAGGCACTGCGAAAAAGCGAAGCTGCTGGTCTGGTTACCTATAATTAAGATGCTTAAAATACAAAAAGTCTTCAATAATTTTGAAGTTCCAGTACTGATGTTTTTTGAAGGATACAAAAGTCTAAGGGTATATGTAACTTATAGATTCGGAATCCAGTTGTGAAATAGGCTAAAAACTAACCCAATCACAAAGGAAAATAAAACAATCCTAACTTGTGAATAAATTACAACTTGAAAACACTAGCTAAGAAATTTGTCTTGAAATCTACAGTTTTAAAAATCACTTCAGTAATAAATACTGATTATAACAGAATTTCAAAATACATAAGATTAATAAATTAAAAGCCTTAACATTCCACCATCTACACAGTGGCTCTCAAGCTGATGTGCATATTGAATCACCTGACGAGTTTTAAAACCACCGCACTCACTGTACTGTGGGGCGCTGGAACCCAACCCGAAGTATCGCCCAGGTCTGTCTGTCCCGATGCCTGGTTCCAGCCTCGGGAGCTTCTGATCAGTTAGTACGAGGTATGGCCCGGGCGAGGCCCGGTAAGACCCCTCTAACTGATTTTAAAGAGAACCAAGGTGAGAACCTAAGTCAAGAGTGAACAGCTCTGTCTGTCGCTCACACTTCTTGACTTCGGGGAAAAGCACCAAGCCCATCGCTCGGTACCTCCTCAACTCCAGCCAGCTTTGCTTTCAGCTCTCTGATGGTGGAGTCGCCTTTGTATCTCCTCTCGGTGAGGTCTTTGTTAGCGGCTTCTAGCTCGGACAGCCTGCTCTGCAGCTGCTGGGTGTTGCGCTGATGGAGGATTTCTAGCTCTTTCTTCTGCTGCTCATGCTGCTGTTGGTACTGCACCTGCGCCTATTATATAATAAAATAGAGTACCAAATTCAAAGGGAAAAACCAGAAGTACAAATACAAGAAGATGTGAAGAAAAAAACAATCTCAGTTATTCTTCTGTGTAATTATAAGAGGTCCTTGCTTTGAAGAGGAGCTATTTTCAATCATGAACTTCATGAAGGAGCAGGTAAGGTCAACAAAGGCAGATTGACACTCTAATCTCGCTCGTAACTTCTGCTCCTCCTAAACACACGTTGAGATGTCATGGTCTTCAAGTTCAGGGAAGAACAATATAGGGTGAAGTAAAAAAGCAAACTGTAAAACAGTTTGAACCAAATGAGAGGGTACATAAGGAACTTACAGTATTTGCTTTAAAAAAAACAACAACAAAAGAAACCACACACCTAAATTTGTGAAATCAGCAAGGTATTGTGCATTAGTTCAGCCCTACATTTAGTAGTTACATTTTAGCTAAAATAAAATCTGAACATGGTATTAACTGTGTAATACCATGTTGCCTGTTTGAATCATACCACAAACATATCTTAATAATTTCTGTTGAGCACTATCAAATCCTAAATACTTTTTAAAAATAAACTACACTTTTCTGATTATGACAGTTATATATGCTATTAAAGGCACAAAGAAATCACAAATGACCAATAATCTCATCCAGGGACTCATCCTAAAGATTTAGGAATAACATCCCCCATACATATTTAAATTTAACATATTAGGGCTAAACTATTTATACAATTTAATCATGTTTTTCATTCCTTTACCATTTGCACCTTCTCACATCATTAAAAAAAACGCTGTAAACATGTGAGTAGTTGCACATCATTTCACCCAGAGCTGTACCTTCCTTCATTTAATCCCTGCGCTACTGTGGTCACTGAGTTTCCAATTTTTCACAATTACAAATAAAATGATTCCTATCATTGTACATATATATACATCCAAAATTCAGACTATTTCCTTATGATTAAGTATAGGTCAAAGAGTGTGAATAAATATAAAGCTTGATACAAGTTCTAACACTGCATTACAGCGTGTTCTTCCCCCTCCCCCCGCCCCCTTTTCTTTCTCCTAAGCTCCAAAGGCCATTCTTCTATCTCTGTAACTTGTTTCCTGAGCCCACCCAGCCGAGCTGGCTCAATTCTTCCATGGCTCACTTTTTACACCTCTGTGAGTTTCTAGATAAACTTTTGCTTTTAAAAATAAAAATAATAAAAATAAAATGAAAATAAATAAAATTGTATACCCATTCAAAAATTCCTACCACAGATGCAGGAATTTCTCATAAAATACTTTGGGAATGTTACATTACTACTTTACAAATTCCCTCATTTTTTAAAAACTGGAAAGGGGAGAAGGGAGCAAAAAAGGTAAAACAAGTAAGAGTCCAGATAGAACTGCAAGTGCCACCCTGGAAGACAACACTGAAGGGCGATGCAGAAAACAAGCAGAGCCTGGGAGAGGCGCTAACTGCGGCCGGCTAGGGGTGACACACGCTCACGGCAACCGAGGCCAAAGGCAGCAGAAGGAGAAAACTGGCTTTGTCCCAGTGATCATCACCATTTTGGAGTGTGTGTGTATGTGTGTGTGTGATTTTTTTTTGAAGGGTGAGGGACAGAATTACATCATTTAGACTTTCTACTTTATTTCAGATGATTCTGATACACATCAAAGTTTTAATCACTGCCCCACAGAATATCAATCAGCAAGAGGAGAACAAAGCAGCTGGTTTTAAAGTCTCAAAGGACTGATTCACAACCTATCAGAAAATGCAGGAGGGAAGGCAAACAAGTCCTTCAGCCACTCTGACATTACAGTATGCAACATCCATTAGTATTTTATCTGGGTATATTGCAATCTCACTTCTAGAAACAAGGAATGTTCATTACAGTATTATTTATAATAATCAAAAATTTGAAGCATTTAAATGTCCATCATTTGGGTAGGCAGTTAACTTATTATATCCAAACAATGAATACTATGCAGCCACTGAAAAGGAACAGCTGAACCAAAAAAGAATGATACCTACAATGTCATGTTAGTGAAAAAACATTACAGCCAATAGATCCAGGAGGATCTCACTAGCAGAGGACCAAACCAAAGCCCAATGTGTATACACACCTATTTATATATATAAAGAAGTAATATGCAAATTGTCCTTTACTGCGTCACAGTAACGACCGTTCAACAGGCTGGGCAGGGCTGTGCGCAGCCAGGGGTGGAGCTGTGTGCACAACCAGTCACCAGGAGATGCATGGAGCACCTCTAGGTCCCTGCCCTGCTCCTGCAGGCAGCGGCAGCAGCTCCCTCCAACCTCCGGAAGCGGTGCGGCTCCCGCCCGGCTCCCGCAGAAGCAGCGAGGCGGCCTACTGTGCGTGACATCTCGCTCTGGGCCACTGGTGTATCTATAATTATGTACAGTTTACACATTTCAAGTTTTATAAATATAAACAAATATTTACAAATTACATATTATTTACAAATATGGAGAAAAGTCTGAAAAACCCATTGAATATTTATAGTTTATCTCTGGGTAGTAAGACTTTGAAGGAGACAATTTTTCTAGACTCTGTGAAGTCCGAACACTTTAAAGTAAGCACACACGACTCTTATAATGAACACTACGACTAAGCAGTAACAAAACATTTCCCCCGTTCCCTCTGATGTTCATACCTGCAAGGCCTTTTCCCTCTCACTGGTCAGCTCCTGGGAATGCTTACTCGACAATTCTGCTGTGTGGGATGCCCATTCATTCCGTAACTTATCTAATTCTTGAACTTTTTCTGATAAAGTCTGCATCAGAGTTCAATACAAAATAGTAAGAGTCTCTTGAACAGGTCATTAGGTTAGAACATGCCAATATAACAAGGATATCAAGGAATACGGAACCACAGCTTTTCAAGATATACGCAAAGATTTTTTGAATTTGAGGAAATCAAGATTAGAATAAAAGCAGTTTCAGATCTGCAACGGCCCACCGGTCAAGCTTGTCTATCTTTAACCTTTCAGTTAAATCTGGCTCTTCCCGCCGAAACCGGTTTGGCTCAGTGGAAAGAGCGTCGGCCTGCGGACTGAAAGGTCCCGGGTTCGATTCCGGTCAAGGGCATGTACCTGGGTTGTGGGCACATCCCCAGTAGGAGATGTGCAGGAGGCAACTGATCGATGTTTCTCTCTCATCGATGTTTCTAACTCTCTATCTCTCTCCCTTCCTCTCTGTAAAATATCAATAAAATATATTAAAAATAAATAAATAAATAAATAAATCTGGCTCTTCCCCACCCAGTCCCCTCCTCTGGCATGAAGAAGTATAAACGCCGGCTGGAGCCAGACAGTCAGAAGCATTCACTTAACACGGGAAGCCTGGGCACAGGCTCCCAAGCTGGGCCGTGCTGTGCAGAATAGCAGGTTATCAGATAGTGTGGTCCTCAATTTCAAGTACGAGGGGCAAAAAGTAATAGCTCTAACTGAAACAATAAACCTACCAGAGGAATTAATTCTAAACATAACAAAACGGGAAGGTTTACAGACAAACTGAAAGGCCGTTTTAGACAAGAGGAATGAGGGAAACAAGAGGAGCAGAGAAGGAACCTGCAACAGACACTCCATGTTGTCTTACTTAATGAAGACGTGGAGGAAACATGTCACATGCTGGGAATAACAAAAGTGTTTGGATGGAATAAAATATCGAAGAGATAAAGCATCCGGTTACGATAACTAACTGGTAGGTAAAAGGTGGAAAAAGGAGGAGGAATTCTGTGATAGCATGCTTTAAAAAAAAATACACAGAAGCCTGGATGGGATTCCAGAGGCAATTCAGGACCAATGTTTGGATGACTTACAAAGAAAAATGAAACCTGATTTACCTTTTGTGTGAAATTCAGTTGCCTAGTAACATCCTCTAGTGATTGTGTCAATGATAATTTTTCTTCCTGTTTATAAAAATAAAATGATGTAGCTTACAATTTAATTACGCTACTGCTCAAACTTTAGCAAAGTACAGCCTCAACATCAGGCTGGAGTTTGTTAGAAACTTGAATCACAAGCCCCACCTCAAACCTCTGAGTCAAAATCTGCACCAGCGAGATCCCTAGATTTGTGTGCAATTACATTTTGAGATGCACTGGTCTACGGCACTTGACTAAGGAGACTTCCTGAAAACGCTTAAGAGGCCTCCCAATGTTGGTACAGAGCATTTGCTTTATTTGCACTTATTTTATTTCATTCAATTTAAGATGGGCTAGATATTCCCACACTATCGATAAGCGGACGAAACCATGACACCCAGAGTTTAGTGACCTGCCCAAGATCGCAGAAAAGAAGTAAAACCCTGGGACCTAACTTTCTCAGTTCCTGGTCCAGTTCTGTCTTTGTATCTTGAGGAAACGAAAAATAAACAAACTCATTGCATGTTACAAAAATTTCTGGTCATCTTACTCAGAAAACCAAAGCTAAAAGCAATATAGCTCTTCAGTGGTTTATCGGAGTCCTTTGGTAGTTATTTTAAAAGAATACCTTGAATTCAACTCTTACCTTGCTACATTTCAAACAGCCTGCTAGAAACTTCTTTATCTCCACATCACTGCCAGGTAGAAGTTTTAGTGAGAGGTGTGTAAGATGCTTAAAAGGATTTGTCTCTACCACATTTAGAAGGACAGGAGAGTTATCCAACACAGCCGCTGGAGACACTAACTGCAGCAGAAACCTTGGGAAACGAAGGGTCATGTTGTCACACGGTTGAGATAGTGAAACTCTCCCACTGAGTCACCTTCCATGACTCAGTGGATCATCAATGATTAGAAGGATCAGGAAAGGGGGCATATTGGAATCCTAGGGGCCAATATGAAAGACTCCCAAAGGTAAAATGTGATAAACTGGTGTAAATGGTAAAACGTGTAACTTGGATAAGAAAAATGACTGATTGAAACATAATGAATATATTAATACCCATGATTTTACGATGAAAGACACATGAGAGAAAGCAAAGAACTAAAATAAAAAACTGAAACCACAAAAATAACTACAGTACCAACTTCTTACTCTAAAAATTGACAATTTAAAAGAATTAAGCATTTATTCTTTATTGTATGACTTTTCAGAGTAATCAAATCTCCCTAATTGATGAGGGTAAGTTCTTGATTATGAATGAATTATAACCAATAAATATAGAAAGAATAGGATTAGAAAAGCATAATTTTGTACGCCCTGCTGACATAACTGATTTGATCAACAACCATCAGCTGAAGAAGCAACAAATAAAGCTTGGAGAAGTTTACACTGAAAGGATCAGGCATCAGCATCTTATGCCCACATGTGAGAGAGCGTGTGCGCGCGCGCGCACACACACACACACACACACACACACACACACAACCACTTATTCTCTCCTTTTTCCAGGCTCATTATAAAAACATACACTTGATGCTATTAAATATTTCAGATAATGAAAATTAAGAGTAAATATTGCTGATTTTAATCATGAGATTAAGTAAATTTAGGATTTATTGGAGCCCTGGAACCCCTGTTTTTAAGATGGACAGGGATACCTGTCACACATAGAGAATCCTGTGCCATCCATCTGTCCTATACAGAGGCTGGTGTTGAGAGAAGGCAGGTGACGTGGTGCTCTGAGACTCACCTTGGGGTTTCCTTGGCATGCTCCTGAGTACACTGCTGAAGCAGATCGATAAATTTCTGCGGGAAAGCTAAAAAGTCTACCAGAAGACCTTGCTGGAATTTTAAACTACACAGAAAACAGGAAAAGATATTTTTAGAAAATTTAACTACTATCTTTTATTATAATTAACACTCTGGAAGATGATTTTTTCTTTACTAGCAATGCATAATCAAGAACTTTGACTTTTATAAAATTTATTCAATGAAAGGAAAAAGGTCAATAAATTTAGCTAAAGATCCAAATTTCTGAGCTACTGTAAGCAGAACTCTAATAATCTATGAAATACTTATTTTCCCAAAAACGTTCTGAGTGATTATAAATAGTCCAGTGTTCCCAAAATCCCTAAATGTTCCTTTTGGTATGTATGTGTTTCAAAGAGAATAGTACTAATACATTCATAGAACTTAAAAACTTACTTATTCCTAGATTAAATAAAAGATCAGAAAAGTAAATTTAGTTACCTCTGAAAATCTTCCTCCGATATAACAAGGTTATAGAGGAAAAATGGATCTGTGTCATCGGTCAGACGGATAACTAAATCCTAAAAGAAAGTGATTTTTAATGTGTTTAGTAGCTGTACCTTTGAGTAAAAAGTGCGATCACCCAACATCAATGCATCCGCATCAGCCTTCAGCTGGCTCTGCTGCCTGCAGCTGCTGGCTTTCCCTAGTCTTACAGACTTCCATCTTCACAGGGGACTTATTCTGCTTCTTGAGAGCCACGGGGGGAGGGGGTTAGGGGGTTAGGAAGTTAATTAAACGCTAGGAGCTTTAAGTTTAGGAATATCATCCTAGCAGAGCCTTAGGAAAATTCTGACCCAGCCCTTGCTACACTATGACACAATGACAAAAATATTCTTTACCACTGACTATACCATAATCAATTATATTTTCAGTTTCCTGCAAGTTAATTGTCTGGTATTTCAAAAGTGGCAAACACATGAGCAGAAATCACAACCGTCCACCCTGGGAAAGGAGCAGAGGACGGGGTATCAGGTGACATGCTGCCAGGCTTCCTGCTCCGGGCCACCCTCCTGCTCCAGATGGCCTCATGTGGAAGCCACCTGCCTCAGTCTCAAAGGAGTCAACACCTTTCATCAAGACCTGCTTCCAGACCAAGCTGACCGTGTGCCAGCTCCTCACAGCAGCCAAAGCTGACAGAAAAGTACGCCAACATCACAGACTCAGAGGACACGGGTGTCAGGAAAACAGGCAGAGCGACAAGATGATGGAGACAATAACGAAGCAGGCACTGGGGTCAGAATAAGGTTCCACTTGACACGAAACCTACTTGTGGCGACTGAGGAACTGTTAGGGGTCCTAGAAAAACCTAGACCACCCATGAGGAGAGCTGGAAAATGAAGGGTCCCATGGCACGCATAGGAAGAACATGGATAATCTCTTCCAAAAATCAGCAATCCAGGCATTTGCTCTGCCTCAGAATGCCCTGTTCTTCAAGCAACTGCAATGGAAGCACTTCCTGAAATCCACCCCAAGGTGCTGTAAAAAACTGAAGCTGCTGCCAGTACTCCCAGGTCCCTGATGTTTTAGAGAAAGCCGTGGTGGAGAAAACAATGCCCTACTTTTCAGCTCTGTAGTCTGTATCCATCTGAAGACCATTTAGGACCGATGCTCTAACTGCCGCTCTTCCAAAGGCAAAGTGAAAGATTTAAGAATAACTCCCTGCAGAGATTCATCCATCCCGTTCTCACATGCACACCAGCAAATGCCAACTCTCTAGGGTAGCAACAGATATTCTAGCATCATAAGTGTCCTTGGCAAACCTCAGGGACCCAGCCTCCCCACCCCCATTCTTCTGTGCTTTAGAAATAGGTGGTATCATAATCTCTTAGTTATCGTAGTTCATTCCCCGACTCGGGACCGGCAAGTACAAAATGGCCCCAAATTAAAAGCAAAATAGGTGTAAAAGAGATCTCACATTCTTAAACCACAAAAATAATTACCTGCAATGTAAGAGAAATTATCATAGTTCAAAATCGAAGTGAATACCCACCTTTCTGTGAACCGGATTGGACACTGCTTGCAGCTCAATGCTCACTCTAACACTGACTCTCCTGTGTGAAGACACAAGCCCGACTATCAGAAGCCATCAGAGGACACAGTTACCCCCCCTCCTATATTAGCTACAGGGTCTTCACATGTGAGGTGATGCTGGGAAAGCACCCTGGGTTCGAAGTTCAAGTTCTTCTTCTCCCACTAGTAAGTAGTAATCAGGTCTGTAACCTGAGGCTAGATTTGTCTCTCCTGTAAAATGAGATTGTCCTGAGGATTAAAAGAGATAAGCGAAGGGGAAGGCCTAGTACTAGCCTGGACCATAACATTCCTACCCTGATGCTGAAACAGCATCTGTTGAAAGGTAAACCATCAATGTAATAACTTCTCACATTAAAAAATTACCAATTCAAATAATCAAATGATTTATGAGAGATTCCATTTAAAAAATGGAATGTGATGTAATAAAAGAATAAAATGTGATGTAATATTAAGATACTGGAATGTTGAGTCAAGGACTAGGATAACATATTCCCTCCCCTCACACACACAAAATTTTTTTTTTCCAGATCCACAAAGTACATCTGTTCAATATACATGCAGTACATGCACAGAAGTATCACCAACAGGTTACCACCTATCTTATTCTAGAGCAGTGGTTCTCAACCTTCCTAACGCCACGACCCTTTAATACAGTTCCTCATGTTGTGGTGACCCCCAATTTCATTGTTACAAATTGAACATAATTTAAGCATGGTGATTAATCACAAAAACAATATGTAATTATATATGTGTTTTCCGATGGTCTTAGGCGACCCCTGTGAAAGGGTCGTTCGACCCCCAAAGGGGTTGCAACCCACAGGTTGAGAACCGCTGTTCTAGAGGCACTTTAGGCCCTAAAAGAAAGAAACTGTAGCTTTCCACATTCTATACGGCACCCTGCAGAATCCAGTACTGAACAGAGGCATACAGATAAAGGTACTCATAAACATTAATCAAATTGAACAAAGATATTTAAATAATTAGGAAATAAAGGGAAAATATTAGTGAAAAAACATCTCTACATAAATGGTTCTCAAACTATTGTGCTAGAATTAAATAAGTAACATGGAAAGAGAAAGAAACAAATAATTTGTTCAATATTAAGTTATTCTTACAAAGGTGTGTTTTAAACCTTTCCCACAGCCCACCACTACTTATATGCTACAGAAATAAAAAGTGTGGACAGAGCAATGCGCCCAGATGGGAAACCTGGTAAGAGCTGACCAAAGCTAGATTCAAGTGCTTTGATTTTTTTATGCTCTGACTTATAATTTTACATTGGCTTAAAATCCTAGCTCATATGATGAGGTTACCATAACTTGTGTCTGTTCTCTGAACACCACAAAAATAGGAAGAATTATCTTTAAACCCACAGAATGTTTTCTTTCTGTTTTGCTAGTATGGAGAGCAATATATGCAAAACAGATCAGAGTCCTACTCCAATTCCACTTAAATTAAGCATTCTTGGGGGTGGAGGGAGAGAAAACCTTCTCATTTCCAAATTTGTAATAGTTTTCCAATCATATTAATGCTTTTGTTGCATATATTCCAAATGCTTATACCCATTAGATGTGGGGAAAAAAAAGGAGGAAAGGCCCACAGACTAAACCTATTCCCCATGTTTACTTCAACTCCCCCACGCCTCCCCAAATATCTTGTAGAAAAATCTGTGCTTTCAGAGGATATACTATCTGAAATCAGAAATCTTATTTTATCCATTGTAATGGCTAATGTCACAGGAACATTATGAAACAAATCAATAAAACCTCAATAAAAATGCTATTTTTCAAAATTAATGACACATTCTGAACAATGCATACATCTACATAACATCTTCCTTGTCAGGTATGTCTGGCATTACAGACCTGGATTCTAGCCCAACTCTGCCGCCTATAAGCTATGACTTTAAACTCTCAATTCAAACAACTGAAAGCTACTCTAAGCCAGGTACTGTGCTGGGTGCTAGGGTTACAAACAGAAACAAACATGGTGCGTGTCCTCACACTGAGATCAGATGAAATGACCTGACCCCAGATTTGCTTCTGACTGTATTGTAGGGCTTCCAGAGAGGGAAGGAAGTCACACTCACTGAGCGCCCACACACGGAGCACTTGCCAGGCCCTTGGAATAAACCTCCTTAGTCAACAACAGCCATCTGAAGTCAATCTCATTTGTCTTACAAAGGGGGAACTTGAGGTGCAGTTGTAAACCTGGTGAAGGTCACATTGCAGAGCCCAAGCCGGAACTCAGATTTCTCACCGATATCATGCCATCTAAGAAATAAAGTCAATTAATTTCAGCGTAGGCAACCTTGAACAGGCCCTCATGTGGACGGGATCGCAGACAGACCTTGAAAGTTGTGCAGGAAGCAGCACTGGAGCAGAGGCGAGCAGGACTAGAGGCAGCACGGAGAGGAGCTGCACTCGGAGGGGAACGAGTAGCCTCGTGTGACTAGTATACTGGGGAGAGGAGCTCAGGAAACACAAATGAAAAGCAGGTTGGAATCAAATCATGGGCTTCAACATTTTTCATCACTTTCCTCCAGACAGTTCTCCGAGCAGTGCCACTGTCTTCCACGAAACTGCCTCCTTCTCTATGACGTCAGTAATTTGTAAACGTCATGCATTAGTCACACGTTAATAACAGCTAACGTTTAGTGAATGCGTACTATGCTCCAGGCACGGTTTGTTCTAAGCACTTTAATATGTATTAACTCACTGCAAATTCATAATACTCCCATGAGGCAGGGACTTCTATCATCGATTTAAAGATGGGCACAGAGACATTCAGTAAACTAACAAACAAAACCAACAACAAACCTGTACAAAATGAAGGTCAGTAAGTGGCAGACCTGGGATTTCAAGCCAACCTGGCCCCGAGCCTGAATCTGAACCTGTGCTGTGCTGCCTCCCCCGGGGAAACTGCTGCCCCTATTGAAGCTCAGTTCCTTCAGGACCAGAATGAAAACCGGGGTTTTCTGTTGTAGTTTTGGGGCTGGAAGTGAGGAGGCAGGAAGCTTTACACTCTTAGCACCCGGACAGCTCCTGGTACACAGTGGGCATTCGTCAATGTATTTGTTGAGTGACCTGGCCTTGAATACTTAACTAGAGTCTGATTGTTCCCCACAGGTCAGGGATCAGCAAACCTTTCTGTCAAGGCCAGACAGTGAGTGCTTCAGCTCGGCAGGCCATGGGTCTCTGCCACAAGTACTCAGCTCTGCCCTTGCAGCTAAAGCAGCCACAGAGGATTCCCCAACAAATGAGAATGGCTCTGCTCCAATACACATAAAGCTTTAGTCACAAAAATGGGCAGTGGGCCACCTGGCCATGGGCTCTAGTTTGCTGACCCTGCTACAGGGGATAGGAAAGGTTTCTAAACAGGAGGGTGAAGGGTGACACTGTGTCTTAAATTCTGAGATATTCTCAAAGACTAGTAAATGAGGGCCGGAGGGTAAGCGCAGCAGACAGGAGTAATTAACCAGTTAACAGCTGTGGGCCAGTGGAATCCGGGCTGCCCTCCAGGTGGCTGTTTCTGCGATTGGCTGAGAGAACGCCTGGGCCACCCAACGCCAGGAGCTTCCACCTGCAGCCCACAGCGAGCCCTCCCAGAGGACGCCTCCTGGGGACTGCGCACCCGCCCCGAACCAGCCGCCTCACCTTCGCCCACCCCCTTCCCTAGAGCCAGTGTAAACCCTCCCGACACAACTTATCAGTCTCCCCAACACACACACGACGTATACACACACTCGCCCACTCCAGCACGGCTTTTCCAGGCGCGTGCTGCTGGTAGTTTAGGTTTCATGCCTAGCAATGGCCCGATAACCCTTCGCTTTAAAAAGACCTTCTGCTGTAGCAGTTAAGTTTTGCTCAACGACATAATGAGATGGAGAAGAGCTAGGAGTTTCGACGTTGGAATCAGAAATTACACCCTCACCTTTCATCTTTCTATCCTCGTTCTAGAACGAGAAAGAATGGAGGCCATGAATATGAGCCACAGCATAATTTTACATTTTCCAGAAGCCACATTTAACCCAACATACCCCAAATAGCGCCATCTTAACACAGTTCGGACCAGTAGTTTTATTGCCAGCTTCACCCAGTGGCCAGATAAGTTCCTACTGAACGAGTACAAAAAACGCTTTACATAAATGTTAAAGGCACGCTTTAAAATTACATACCCATTGCATTTTGAAGTTATTTATTACATGTTCTTACAAGCTAATATCTTTTTAAAGTATGAGACTTGGTAAAACACTGTGTAATATGAAGCGAGAATTCTCGCGATCCGTCGGCAATGTTAATACACATAATCAGCATAAAAATCGAGATATTTACATCCCTTTTCTTCACAGTCTTCGTAGCCCACTGTGCATTCACTCTATGGCACATCCCTTTGGATTCGCTCCAATTCAATGTCCAGTGACCGCCCCGGCGGGCACCTGGGCAGCAGGAACCAATGGCCGACAGAAACGACCCGCACATCTCCGCCCGCAGCTGACGGGGTGGCACCACGGGGGTGGGGGTGGGGGTGGGGGTGGACGCCTGGCTTGCCCACGGGTCTTGGACCCAATCGCACTATCTACTAGTTCCACGTCACTGGGCAAACCAGTGTCCTCACCCTCCAGCCATCACCTGGGCGGGAACCTTATACCAGTTCACAAAGCAGAAGCTCACGAGCGGCGGAACCAAGACAAAACTGCAATCTCCTGGGGGAGGGGGGTTAAAGAGAGGAAAGGGGGGTACATGGTGATGGAAGGAGACTCGACTCGGGGTGCTGAACACAATACAATACGCAGAACTGTGCCCCCGAAGCCTCGGTAATGTTATCAACCAATGCGACCCCAATAAAACAAATAAAGGGGCGGGGGCAGCGTGGCTCAGTGGCTGAGCCTCATCTATGAACGTGAGGTCACCGTTGGATTCCGGGTCGGGCCGCAGCCCCGGTTGCGGGCTCCATCCCCAGTGGGGGGCGCGCGGGAGGCAGCCGGGCAGTGATTCTCTCTCATCACTGGGGTTTGTTTCTTTCTTTCTCTTTCTCTTTCTCTTTCTCTTTCTCTTTCTCTCTCTCTCTTCTCTCTCTCCCTCTTCCCTTCCTCTCTGACATCAATAAAAATATATTTAACAAAGGGGGGGGGGGATCCCACTACCTGACTTCTGGTCCGACCTCCCCACTGAAGCGCCGCCCCTAGTGAGGGCTGTCACTGCGTCTGCCGGCGAGATGGGCCTTGACTCCCGCCTCCCGGGCTGTCAGCCCCGGGGACAAGGCCGTCGGCCCGACCCTGCGGCCCAGCGCGGGGCCCGGCGGCGGTATTTACTCGGACGAACGACTGGAAATTCTGGTTGGCCCCTCTGGTTTTCCGCCGACTTCAGTCACTTAACGTGTGGTCCACGGGGACGGGCGATGCACCACCGCACCGGCTGTGGCAGAATCCCGGGACCCGGGGCCGGCCTGAGGCCCAGCGCGACCCGGCCGGGCCCACGTCCCGCCTGTCAGAGCGGAGACGGGCTCGCACCTCCACGGTCCCCACACCAACTCGCGGCGGCGGCTGCCGCCTCCTCCCCCGCCTCCCTCCGCGTCCTCGGCAACGGCCGCTCGGTGCGACAGGTGGCCCTGCCTCCCTGCTGAGTCCCCCCCACCCCAACCCCGCGTCCCGGGGCCGCCGGCCCGACACCCCGCCGCAGGCCGCAGCCCACCGGCCGGAGCCGCCATCTTCCCCCTCGGCCCGACCCCAACCGCCACCCGCAGGCAGCGGGGACCGCGGGCCTCACCTCTCCTCGCAGTCTCTGCACTTCACCTGCAGCGGGACAAGCTGCTGGAACAGAACCTGGCTCATGCTGGACCGCGGTCCCGCCGCTGCGCGCAGCGGCCACAGGCTCGGCCCCGGCACCCGCCTCAGCGGCGTCCGGCTGCTAAGGTTTGAGTTTGGCGCCCGACTTCCGCTGAGGGGGCGGAGCAGACAAATAGGCGGAAGCTGAAGGCGGGTTGGACCTCGCCGGCCACCGTCCCCTTCTTCCGGTCGGGTGGGGGCGGGGCTGGCAGAGCGGTAGTCCCGGCGTCACCAGCGTGGCGAGACCCGAGGCGGCCATCTTTGATAAGGGCAGAGGTTCCCGCGGGGAGCTGACAACTTTCCCTCCCTCCACTTGCTGCTTGCCCTGAACGATGGCGGCCTCTGCGCCGACTCCGCACGCGACGGGCTTCCCAGCCGAGGGTCGCTGCGGCTACTACGTGGCAAAGAAGAAGAGGTTCTGCAGGATGGTGGCGGCAGCCGGGAGGAGGTTCTGTGGCGAACACGCTGGTGCCGCGGAGGTCTGGTAGCTCCCCGCCCGAAAGTCGGAACCAAGTTTCCCGGCCCCGCCCCTCCCCTCTCGCACCGACTTGGGCTTCGGTCCCCCGGGTTTTCCAGCCTCTTCGGTTCATCCCCGCGGTTCTGGGCCCCCGGGGGGCGACGGGGAGAGGGACTCCCGCGCCCGCCGCGTCGCCGCCCCCCGGGGTCCCTCCACGACGCGCGGGGATCCGCACCCCGTTTGTTTTCGTCAGTGCGGCGGAGAGAAGCTCCTTAGAGTGTGACTTGGAAGCAGGTGTTTCTTTACTTTTCGGTGACAGTTGACACGCAGTGTCATCCTGTGTTGGTTGGGGGTGCGCAGCACCGTGTGGACGAAGGGACACCCCCCCCCCCCGTCCAGTCCTGAAATGAACAGCCCGTGCGGCCTCCCGGGCCCACCCCGAGGATGGGCCCCCCCAGCTCCTGGAGGGGCAGTTTTATTGTTTCACTTTTCGGTTGCACATAGCCTGTCAGTTCCGGTGCACAACAGCGATAGACAGTCCTGTAACTTAGGGTGCCCGCCCCCCGCCCCAGCCCCCAGCTGGTCCCGCGTGGTTATCGCCATTGCTGACCGCATTCCCTGCGGGCGCTTTACATCCCCACTGTGCTGTGGCTGCTCGCCTTTTAAAAATCTTTATTGTTGAAAGTGTTACAGATGCCCCCCCCCCATTGACCCCTTACCCATGGGTTATGCCTTATGCATACAAGTTCTGTGGTTAATCACTCTCCCCACCATCTGTACTTCCTAATGGGCGGGGGGATTTTAAAACATGTCAGAATCCACTCTCCCTTTAAAAATGAAACCAGCCCTGGCCGGCTTGGCTCAGTGGATAGAGCCTCGGTCTGCGGACTGAAGGGTCGCGGGTTTGATTCCCGTCAAGGGCACAGGCCTGGGTTGTGGGCTCGATCCCCAGTAGGGGGTGGGGGGCTGATCGGTGGTTCTCTCTCCCTCTCCCTTCCTCTCTGAAATCAATAAAAATATATTTTAAAAAAATGAAAATGAAAACAGGCAGCCATTGTGTTCACTAGTACAGTCCCCCCCATAACTGGACTGTGAGTTGGGGTGTAGATGATAGGAAAATAGGAATAGGAATGGGAACAGGGAAGGGGGTGCCGGTGGCAAAGGCCCTGCCGGTAGGCTCTGGGTTAAGGAGAAGAGGCAGGTGTCTGCTTCGGGCCTGGGGGCCGCCCAGTGCTGGGTGTGTGGTTTTTGTTAGTCAGTCCCGGGTTCACCCTTCCAGGCTCCATGCAGGACAGCTCGGCCCCTTCATCCGCCGCTGTCCGTGGTGGCCATCGCCCTGCTTCAGACGCTGAATGCCCTGGCACTGGCCTGGAGGGCAGCACACGGGAACCAGCTTACCCTGGTTTGGGGGTGGGGCGGCCTGGACTTAGGGTGAGAACTCAGGCGCACACCCACAGGTGTGTGGGCCGGCTTTGAGGGGACCGGCAGACGTCCCTCGATTGAAGAAGGAGATGCGTGGTTTTGTTCTCACTCTGAGACCTCGGACGTGAGCTTAGCCACACGGCTGGAAGGTGACAGCAGACTCAGAATCAGTCCTTACCAGCCGGTCCGTCGGTCGGTCGGTCGGTATTCCCCGAGAGCCAGCCCCGTGCTACGCAGGTTTTTAGAAACAATTAGCTCACTTCATCTTCCTCCCCGTTTGGAGGCAAAGTTAATGGTCATGTTTGGGTGGAGGCAGGAGGTCTACTAAGGTCACAGAGTTAGGAGCTGGAGCTGAGGACCAGACCTCCAAGTACTGCCCGTCCCCTACAGATCGCGTGGAGTTGCCATCACGATTAATTTCCCTTGAATTTTCCTAGTGCCTGTGGTTCACTCCACGTGACTTAGAAACAAACGGTGCGACTCTGCTCGCCTGTAGAATTTGGCCACCGAGCCAATGGTTAAATGCCATAGTTCATCGTGTCTAAGACCCTGTCTTTGAGCATCTCTGAAATCAGGATGTATCCCGAAATCAGTGACATCACAACTTAAATTGGCAGTATTTTTCTCGCTCAGTGGTGCCTGGACTGATAGTGGTGTCTTCGTCAGTGCTGTCAAAGGTGCAGGTTCGTATGCAGGCCGTCTTCATAACCTGTAGGACGCTGCGGGGCCTCGTCCAAAGCAGTATTTGCTCGTCTGTGCGCACACCAGCCGCACTGGACACTAGTTGCTGAACCCTGTGACCTGCTTGAGCCAATGTTTCATTCACGGCCACTTAAGGACTCTCTGCCTTGTTTCGGGAATGCATCAACTTAGGATTGCACTGAAGTCAAAGCTAGTACCTGTAAGCAGTGAATTTGGTATTTTATTCAAATAAATATATCCTTTTTCTTTACTAGGAAGAAAATGCTCGAAAAAGAATCCTGTGTCCTTTAGATCCGAAACAGTAAGTACGGGGTCAGATAAGGGGTTTTTCTGTGCCGGAAACAGTAATTGTCACAAGTCTTACTTTAAATAATTTTCTCTTCAAATGTAGCACAGTCTATGAAGATCAATTAGCAAAGCATTTGAGAAAATGTAACTCAAGAGAGAAGCCCAAACCTGTAAGTAGCTGATCGATAGAACTGAATGGTGACCGTGTGTTGTGTGATGTTTTACAGACTCAGTAGATTACAGATGTGAGCACTTAACTCTCGTCTCCGAGGCTTGAATGCGGTCACTGCGTTTGCATGTGTGAAGGCCAGCACTGTATCCGACAGAGTCCTCGTTCAGATAATAGAATTTTATGCAACCAGAGTGTAGTTCAGAGAATGATTTCACAATGTGTTTATTCAGAAATATTTCCTTAGTGCCTCCTAGGGTTATTCCAATTAAATTGATCCCAAGGGGCTTATTTGAAACTGGTAAGTAAGCTGTAAAGAACGGGTATCGTAATAAGGTCAACGGAAGGAGTGCACATGTGATAAGAACACACACTTACATAAAAATTAAAATTAAGTCCAAGAGACCAAGACAGGCTTCCCAGAGAGAATGATTATCTATTTTCATTAGTATTTTAGGTGGAAGAAATCAGACCTAAACTGTTGCGACATCGGTATCTTGCCTCTGGTGTTGGTCATGGTTCCTGTCTGATCAGCAGCCATGGGTATAGTTGATGCTTTGTTTTTGCTTTAATGCCGTGAACAGAACTGACACAGCCCTCCGTCTGCGCTGTAGTGAGGTTAAAACTCTTCATAGAAAATTACTGATGAATTTCTCTAGACGACAGATGTTCACAGAACCACTCGCTAGGATAGAAGATCCGTGAACACAGAGTTCCTTGTTCTGTTCTCTCCTGTGGTGAATCCTCAGCACCCAAAGCTAATGAAGGACCATAGTAGGTGCTCAGTGACTTTGTAATGAATGACCACAGTAGGTGCTCAGTGACTTTGTAATGAATGACCACAGTAGGTGCTCAGTGACTTTGTAATGAAGGGCCACAGTAGGTGCTCAGTAACTGTAATGAATGGCCACACTAGGTGCTCTGTAACTGTGTAATGAATGACCACACTAGGTGCTCAGTAACTGTAATGAAGGACGACAGTAGGTGCTCAGTAACTGTGTAATGAATGAATGGGTCGAAGGGAGGCACAGACAAGGGGAGAAGGGAAGGATCAGTTTTTCAGTTCAGTTTCTATGAGCTCTTCACATTAATAACAGCATTTTTATGGTTTTGTTTTGGTTAAGGACTTCTTTATTCAAGATATTAATGCAGGCCTAAAAGACGAAACAGAAATACCTGAACAGTTAGTAAGTACTTGACTTTTTACTTTTTTTTTTAATATATTTTATCGATTTTTTACAGAGAGGAAGGGAGAGGGATAGAGAGTTAGAAACATCGATGAGAGAGAAACATCGATCAGCTGCCTTCTGCACACCCCCAACTGGGGATGTGCTCGTAACCAAGGTACATGCCCTTGACCGGAATTGAACCTGGGACCTTTCAGATCGCAGACCGACGCTCTATCCACTGAGCCAAACCAGTTAGGGCGGGCGGACTTTTTACTTTTAAACAGTATTTATAAGTTGTCTCCACGTTGAATTAGCTGCGTTCCAATTTTTGTTTGGAATAAGTTAATTTTTTAAAACTTAGAATGCATTTTCTATAGAATTGATATTCTTAGTGATCAGCTCACCCCTCATTTTTTTGTATGTAGGTTCCAATTTCTTCTCTCCCTGAAGAACAGTTGGAAATTTTAATTAAGAAGTTGAAAAAAGCAAGTGAGGGTAAGTCTGCCTAAAGTTGCGAGTTCAAGATTTTGAAGAACAGTTAGGTGGTACGTGGACCGGCACCAGCGTGGTTTAAGGGTATCCCCACCATTGTCCAGAGCCTGTGGTTTCAGGTTTGGCTGCTTAAGCTCTGGTGCTTACATTTGGCACAGGTTTGAACTCGACACTTAAAGATCAAATTATGTCCCATCCTGCATTGCATGATGCCCTTAATGACCCTAACAATGGTGACTCTGCAACCAAACACCTGAAGCAGCAGGTATGTGTAGGCCACGCTGATCTTGAACATGGCCTCTGGTCTGTCAGAAGCTAACATTCTGTTCTTTCTAAACATAGCTACTAATGAGCTTTCACTCAGTGTGCCTTTCAGGGACAGAACCCTTCCATTCTAATAAGTATGTGTAAACGTCTACTAAAATGCTTGGCCTGACTGTGGGTCTGAGTACCGCGTGTTAAATATTTAAAAACAAAGCAAGAGAAAAAAATTTAAAGCCACACAGACATCTTCCTTGTGACCATGCCGCCTTCTGTAGACATTACCTTCTGCTATTTTTCCCACTTGAGCCAGATGTGTTTGCTCTCGTTTATAAAATAATCTCGTGAGGTTTGCAGGCTTCTATTTTAGGTAACATTGAGAAATTAAAGTTACTTGGTCCAAGAAGATGCTTTGTTGAGTTTGGAGCAGGAAAGGGGAAATTATCTCACTGGGTTGATATTGCCTTAAAAGATGCCGAAGAAGTTCACTTCATCCTCGTAGAGAAGGTGCCCACGAGGTTCAAGGTGAGCGACCACGGCCGCACGCTGCCCGGATGGGCTTGCACGTCCTCGTAGGCCAGAGGCATGTCTCTTAGTGAAAGGGGATTTTGCTCTGCATTTTGAAAACAAATAGAACTTGTTTATTTTAATAAAGCTTTTCCTTAAACATAGAAAAGCCATGGTTATAATAATGTTCTGTTTGTGCAGGTAGATGGCAAACACAGAAAGAAAAATTCAGTGTTTCAAAGACTTCAGATCGACATTCAACACCTGTGTTTGAGTGAGTTGCGTAACTTTCCGTTGTCTGCCATAAATCATAGACGTTTCCAGCTCGGGTTGCTTGGAAGTCCAGCCACGCATGACACGCGTCAGGCGCGAGGGCGAGGCCTGGTCAGGCAGCCGCCACACTGCTCGCTCACAGCCGCCTGTGTCCTCCTCCAGCCGCTGCGTCTTTGAGCCTCATTCCTAAACCACCAAGTGCGAACGTTTGTTTGAGTCTCTCTCAGCCCTAAAACTCAAAGACTCTACTTAGTTCTCTGTTTGATGAGGCACCGTAAGGCCTTATCCCACAAGGGGCTGACTTAGTTCTCCTTTTATTTCAGACAGGATTCCCGTGCTGAGCAGGGAGAGGCTGCCTGTGGTAGGAATCGGAAAGCACCTGTGTGGTGCGGCGACAGGTAAGCCCGCACACCCATCGCATCTCCACGCTCTCGAGGTCCTAGCGCACGGCCCCACCATTTCAGGGGTGTCTCTGTGTTCCCGTCACGTGGTCACAGCGTGGTGGTCTGCCCGGGAGCACTGCCCGTGGGAGACCAGACGGCCTCCTGCTCAGCTGCTCATGGCCCCGGGTGAGATCAGACACAGGGCCTCCTGCTCCCCTTCTTGAATGGCGTGCTTCTCGGTGGCTCTTCTGTCCTGGTTCTCCCTCTGCGTCTTCCCTCCATCTCTCCTTTCAGGACTGGCACCTCCGCCAGCCCACACGGACGCCTGGCCTCTTCATTTCTTTCTTCGGCTTTTCTTGAGGTGGAAACCTCCGTGGCTTGTAAGTGTAGGGAGATGAGTTTGCTCCGTGCGAGGCATTTCCTCCGCCAGGGCAGGAGACCTGAAGTCAGTCCCAGGATTTGGACTGAAAGATTTTGCAAACTAGACCTTAAGCTTCGGACAGTTTTACTGAGAAGTAGACTTTATGCAGAATAAATCATTCAAGAAAGTGAGACGATAATGAGAAAAGAACAAATACAAACAAAGCTGACCATTCAGAAGAGAATGATCACTGGTGGGAAGCTAAGCAGGTTGGCTGCTTTTGGTTTGGGGTTTTAGAAGCCAGAGTGCTCCCTCGAAGTGAAAGGACTCACGGGGAAGACGCTGCCGTGGGGCCGTGGTTGTGTTTGCAGATCTGGCATTGCGCTGTCTGGTTGAAACGTACGGAGCCAGGCGTGAGGAGGGGAATGAGGAGCCTTCAGCCAAACGCATAAAGAACAGTAAGGCAGACAAGGACCTGGACGCTGCGGCCGGGGACGGAGGTGAAGGACTCGTGGCGGAGGAGTGGAGCCCTGTGGCTGGCATTGTGGTCGCGCTGTGCTGTCACCACAGGTGCGAGTGGAGACACTATGTGGGCAAAGACTATTTCAGGGCCCGGGGCCTGGGAGCCCTGGAGTTCCACTATTTCCAGCGCATGAGTAGCTGGGCGACGTGTGGGAGGCGGACAGCTGCTCTGGAGGCCTCCAGTGTCCCCAGGACAAGAGAGGACGAGAGCAAGGACGGCGAGGAGCATGATGGCGGGGGACACAGAGGCCCTGAGGACCCCGCCGGGACTTTGCCCGGGTAAGTGACGGGGAACTGGACAGCTCTGGGGCGGGACTGTTCATCTCTGTTCTCAGACGAATGCTGCCAAAGTTCATTCATGAACATGTGTGTGGCCGTCAGCTCAAAGCCTCACGTCTGCATCGTGGTCATAAGTGAAGCGTGTCTGGGAAGCGTGGGACACAGCGCCCAGGGCTGGCAGCTCACCGGCGGCTTCCAGTACAGAGGAGCCAGAAAGAGCTTGTTGCAAACTGACAAACGCGAGCGTTGCTGTGTGTGTTCTTTGCGTAGGTTTCTCCCTGCGGAGGAGAAGGAGAGGCTGGGGCGCCTGTGTAAGCTGCTGATTGACCAGGGCCGCCTGGAGTACCTGCAGCGGCGGGGCTTCCGGGGCGCGCTGCAGCGCTACGCCGACCCGGGGGTGTCCCTGGAGAACGTGCTGCTCACGGCCTTACCCGCGCAGGCTCCACCCGCAGACGCGACTGCTTGACGGAGAAGAAACTGAACACCATCTGTCTTCCACCAAAAAACAAGGCCTTCTACATTGTATTTTTATATTCACAAAAATATCATTGATAGCAGGTGATGCGAACTTTAAAAAAACGTTGTGCCTCATTGAACTTGGGTACTAGCTTTGTTTTTTACTTGAGAAGAGTCCAGACCTGAGAGAATTCACCAAAGTCACTTCAGTAGGCGCCTGGGTCCCGTCAGCCGTCGGGGTCTGTAGAGGCGGGGGGCGTGGTCGCACGGTCGGCTGCGGTATCTGAAACACAACAGGTTATCATGGGACTAGCGCAGTCACTTTCTAGGTACATGAATTTTGGAATTCACTGTCCCTTGGTTTTATTTAGTCCTTTTTATTTCTCAAGTTCAAGGCGTAATAATCAATTGTCAGTTTCTAACGGGGCAGCTTGAGCACTGGTTTCTGTGTGGGTTTTTCTTTCCAAGCAGATCTGGAAAGAATAGTCAGTTTGTTTTTTTCCTTTGCAAACAGACCCAGAGCTATTCACAATCAACCAATAAATTCACCTTCAGATTTCCAGGGTCAGATCTGCGTGTATATATTCTCAGAATTTGTCCAAGCAAACTCCGAAACCCAAGCGATGTTTTCCAGGGGAAGAAAAAAATATTTCGTTCTATTGGGTATTATACAGTTAGAACTTCCAAAAAGACACTGATAAGCTCACTTCACAAATTAAGTCGAAATTTGCAAATAACTTCTGAAGTTAATTATCTCACATCTCTTAACAGGCTACTTTTACATGTATAAATACAGATATAAGTGTGTTCTCTCTTGTTTGGGAAAAGAATTTGGAGTGTAGTGAAAATTAGGTAGTGAAACCAGACACCTCACACTGAGGCCTCATTTACCTCGTAAAGAGTTTCTATGCACAGCAATATTAAACCAATCACATGGCGCAACTGGTATTTTCCACATCGCATCCTTGAGTGATTCTGCCTTTATTTGTAAACAAATGTGTTCATCATTGGTACGTTTGCCAAGACAAAGATTCAGAATTACTAGTTTTGGATTAATGATACTCTTAGAAAACTTTTTTATAGGTCTGTGGTTACATGAGTTGTAAATTAAACAGCCTATTTTTAATTCCTGACTTTTCTATTTTAGTTTAATCTCATGTTTTGTGAAACTGCGTGGGTTCAAATCCCAAGCCTACCACCTCTCAGCTGTCTGACCTTGGGCAAGCTACCTAATCTCTGTGCCTCAATTTCCTCCTAAAATGGGGGTGATGGCAATAATAAAGCCTATCTCGCAAGGTTGTTGTGAACATCAGATGAGATTATGAATGTAAAATGCTTAGAATGGTCAGAGCACAGAGTAAGTACTCAATGAATACTAACTGTTATAAATAGTGCTAGTTCATGAATCTCATTTTAATAAATAATAAGCAGACTTGGTTGTATTGACTGTTTAAGTTACAACCTTTTTCTCTTGTTATAAGTTGTATGCAAAATATTATTAAAGTAAGGTAGTTTGATTATATTTTAAGTTAGTTACTTATGTGCCCCCCATTCAAGGAAATATAAATCAAGATAATACATCCTATATAATAAGAGAGGAATATGCTAATTAGCCATTATGCCCTGAGGCACAACGACCAAGCGCATCACGATCAGATCATGATCAGCAGGAGGGTGGGCCAGCAAGGTACAAGCGGGGTGCGGAGAGCTACAGGAGGGGGCAGGGCAGCAAGCCATGAGGGGGGTGCAGGGGAGAGGGGGGAGCTACAGGAGGGCGGCAGTGAGCTACTGGCGTACAGATTCATGTGCAGGGCTACTAGTCATTCAATAATTAACCTGATACACTGGGTCAGACCATGCTCATTTACGTCACAACATCCGTTTTCTACCATTCAACAACTCATGCCTGGAAATAAGTGATTATGCTATAGGAGGCACAATCACTTAAGTTTCATAAAACATTTACACACACACGAGAATCACCAACAGTCTTCTGGTCCATTTACATTTCCGACACTGGTACCTAGTTCTCTATGGGAAGTAACGATTGCCCTTCAGCATGCCAGCCGTAGGTCAATCGCAGCTTTCCCCCACCCTGTTCATTTTCCTTAGCATCCTGACCGACATGTGGGACGTGCACCTAGCTGCTCCTCACCTGCAGAACCTGCAGGTTCAGCTGGTGGATGTTCCTCTCCCATCGATGTTTCTCTGCCTCTGCCTTCCTCTCGCTCTAGAATCAATAAAAACATGTTTTAAAAAGATAGAAGAAATCCACAAAGGAGTTCATGAACATAAACACTCCTCCACCAGAAGGAATACGGAACCTGTGGAAGCACCAGTCGCATACCTGCTTGTCTCCGGGACTCCTGGATGTAGGTGTGCATGAACTGGAGGCCGAATAATTCCTGCTCCTCCTCCTCCTCGGTGCTCTCAGGGGCGGGAAGGGTCACTTCCAGTCTCAGCGGGTTGTCTCTGAAGTTGACAAACCTAGCAGAGTGCCAGAAACCAGGGTTTACAGGTGCCGTGGGAGTGTGCACTTCCCTGGAGACAGAGCAGTGATGATAGTATAAACCAGCGGTTACCAGCCTTTCGGACCTCCTGGACCCCCACTGGCCCACGGACCACCGGTTGGCGACCGCTGTTCTAAACAACTCTAGCTGGTCCCAATGACAGCGTCTTGGTGAGATGTGACATAGCCCAAGAATCTTTAAGTTTCTTTCTTGAAGAAAAAAATACCAGCTGGAGACAACTTATTTCCAGAGCTCGGAAAAGTAACTGCTAGTCCTGCGGGTGTGACGGTTGGGCGTCCTTCAGTGCAGGAAAGGTCACTGGTTCGACACAGGTTCGACTGGTCAGGGCTCATGCCCAGAGTGAGGACTCCTCCCAGTAGAGGGCGTGCAGGAGGCAGCTGATGGATGTTTCTCTCATCAATCTTTCCCTCTTCTTTCCCTCTCCCTCTCTAAGATCAATAAAAACATTTTAAAATAAATAAAAGCAAGCAACTGTTGGCAGCATGGATTTAATGTGGAGCAGTGGGACCTCCCAGGGCATTCCGAATGCATCTCAAACACACAGAGGCTCCTCCACCTGACTGGGGTTATGTCCCGATAGGCCCACTGTAACTTGAAAGTCAGCCGAAAATGCATGTAATTCCCCGAAGCTACTGCACAGGATAGCTTCACCTGGCCGACCTGACACATGCTCACATCACTCCCATTCGCCTGCACTTGAGCCAGGCCATCTAACAGAAAGCCTGCTTTATCTGTACAATGAACGCAATAAACTTAAAATATGCGTATTTTATAGACTTGTTTGTGTCTTTTTATCATCGTAACTTCACCATCTGGTACAGACCTTGGTAGTCGCTGCACATGTGAATGAATGAATGAATGAATGGTTTTGTTACAGATGTGGGATTTGGCATGAATTCTCATGTCTTATGTTCACTGCCAAGAAGTTAAGTTTTGGGAGGAAGATACCAAAGGAGTTTTAATAGTAATGAACTTAGGCGATTTCATGAAAACGTCACCAACAGAGGGCATTCCTTGCCTGGCCATGTGCTCAGTGGTTGAGCATTGACCCAGGAACCAAGAGATCTCGGTTCAATTCCGGATCAGGGCACATGCCTGGGTTGTGGGCTTGATCCCCAGAATGGGGCGTGCAGGAGGCAGCCAATTGATGATGTTTCTCATGGATGTTACTCTCCCTCTCCCTCTTCCTTCCTCTCTCTTTAAAAGTCAATAAAAACATATTAAAAAAATATAGGGCATTCCTTGATGTTGATAAATCCCAGCACGGCTTTAGTTTTATGGACTCGGTATTATATGCATCCGATTTGTAAATTAGAGTTTCAAAGTTGGACACGTCTTTTAAATGGGTGTATTCATCTGAAGGAGAACTCAGATGTGCAGTGATTCCGCTGTGTGGCTTTGTTCCGCAGCCAGAAAGGAGCGTGCCAGTCTGGTGTGGAGAATCTGTACCTCAGGCTGGGCATCTCGCCCATGCACGCCGGGATGTCTTGCAGTTTGTTGTTGCAGAGAACGAGCGTGCCCAGGTTTTTCAAGCTGCTGATGGACTCAGGCAAGCAGGCGATTTCATTCCGCTGCAGCCACAACGTGTGCAGACTCTGCATCCTGAAGAATTAAAAGAGGTTTCTGCGATGAGTCGATCACACACAATATGGACACCCTGGTTCTTAGGAACTTAACAAAGAAATGTCACCTTCTGTAGCATCTCCACTAGCCAGCACACTGATCGAGTGAACTCACCTCACCTCACCTGCTTATAAGGGAACGGCATTGGGGAGTTCATTCCTATAGGGCAGCGTCATGGTGCAGGAGTGGAAATGAGATCAGTGTATTCTAGACTTCTTCACTGCTCTCATAGACTTTCTTAAAGAAGGCCTGCTGTAAATGGGATCGAATCCGAATCAGCGAAAATCAGAGATTACTAATGTGCTCAGCGGGCAAAGGAAGTGTGCATGTGGTTAACACCATAGACTCTGGGGGCAGGCGGCCTGGGTTCAAGTCCCGGGTCGCACACTGACTGTGGCCTTGAGCAGTCCAGCTTCCTCGTCCACTCCTTAAGTGCACAGAAGCGTGTGGCGCGCGCTAAGCAACATTGTCACCATGGCAGCATGTTCTCGTCACATTGCGGAAGCCAGGTAGCCACGTTTTGCTATTTTACTTTCTTTTCTTTTTTTGGAATAAGTGAAACTTTTCTATTAAATGGTAGCACAGTTAGAACTAGATGTATCTACTGTGCTTATGCCTGGGGTCCCCTTCATTTTCTTTATTTCTTATCCTAGGTTACTTCATCATGCCCGTTGGTAGCATTAGAAGTTGTTTGCTTGCCTGGTCGGTGTGGCTCAGTGGTTGAGCATGAACCGATGAACCAGGAGGCCACTGATCAATGCCCGGTCAGGGCACATGCCCGGGTTGCGGGCTCGATCCCCAGTGGGGGGCGTGCAGGAGGCAGCCGATCCGCGACTCTCTCTCCTCACTGATGTCTCTCTCTCCGTCCTTCCTCCCTGAACTCAGTGTGGAACAGAAGCTGCTTGCCTTACCTCTCTATGGCATCGGGGAGCTGCTCGAGTTGGTTGCTCCCCAGGTCCAGCCACTCGAGGGCGGGCATGCTGAGCACGGCGGCGGGGATGGCGGTGAAGCTGTTCATGCTCAGGTCCAGGTGGGTGAGCTTCGTCAGGCGGCCGAGCTGAGGAGACAAGCGAGGGTCCCACAGTGAGGGCCGGAGCTGGACACGCCCCTGGCGAGGGAGCTCCGTTACAGCGAGGAGAGCTCCCGTAGGCGTGGGCGCGATGTCCTCAGCGTGGAAATCAAATAAACCGAAGTGACCTCCAGCATGGAGCCCTCTCCCACGGAAGCTCATCTACTCCCAGGAAAGTCTGTCCCGAAGAGACCCAGTCCCAGGCCTCGCAGACCTGCCGGAGGGACGGCTGTTCCTTCTCACAGTAAACATGAGCGGAGATTGGCGTGGAAAAGCTCAAATTCAAAATAATCTTTAATGGGACCCTCTCCTTTATCTCTCTCTCCCTCTCCCTTCCTCTCTGAAATCAATAAAAAGATATATTTTTAAAAACAACCTGGGCACTCTATTACAACCAACTAGTTACCAAAGAGTTTTTTCTGTCAACACATCGTGCTTCATGATGATGGTTCATTCCTTCGATACGCATTTATTATCAACTACATCCTAGGCTGTGCCTTCGCCTCCAGGAATGGAAATCAGTAAGACTCACTCTGGCCTTCAGGTGGATCACAGCCTGGTCAATGGAGGATGTGAGCACTGTGACAGTAACAGAGTATCTTATGCTAAGCAGAGGTTTTTCTTGTTTAAACAATGCCTCTTACTTACAGTAACAGGAAACGGCTTTCACTACACATTCCCTGGAAGGAAATGGGTACCATTTCTTTACTGGTGCTGCTTGGAATGACCCCACCACTGAGAGAGGCAAGCCACTAGCAGATGGGCACCGGCGTCGCCGGCACGCTCCCCTGACCTCCGGAGGAAGCTCGCAGATGTCTCTGTTGACAGCCAGTTCCAGTTTCTCCAAGCTGGCACAGTTACTCAGCTCCGGGGGGACCGTCTTGATCTTGTTGTAACTAAGAGTCAGCTCCTGAAGTCTAGTAAGCAGCCCTATGAAAAAGTGCACAATGAGACCAGGTGGGTGGACAATGTTTCATTGGGAAGTATTACACGTTAAGAACTTGCCAGGCCCGGCCGGTGTGGCTCAGTGTTGAGCGTCGACCTATGAACCATGAGGTCACGGTTCGATTCCCGGTCAGGGCACATGCCCAGGTTGCAGGCTTGATCTCCAGTGGGGGGCGGGCAGGAGGCAGCCGATCCATGATTCTCTCTCATCATTAATGTTTCTATCTCTCTCCCTCTTCCTTCCTCTCTGAAATCAACAAAAATATACCTTTAAAAAAAGAACTTGCCAGTTTTATGTTGATATATTCACAGTTGACAAGTTGTTAACTCTTCCCAGATAAGGGGCTGGTGTACCAGTGCTTCAGGCAAAAACACATTTTTTTCATCCCGTTTTATCTATACTATATCCTGACCAATTTTCTCTTTGGGGATTTCCTTTCTCCTTTAAGTGATCTTGCTTTCTTTTTTTTAATGTATTTTTATTGATTTCAGAGAGGAAGAGAGAGAGAGAGAGAGAGAGAGAGAGAGAGAGAAACATCATTGATGAGAGAGAATCATGGATAGGCTGCCTCCTGCACGCCCCCCTAGTGGGGATCAAGCCTGCAACCCAGGCATGTGCCCTTGACCAGAATCAAACCCGGACCCTTTAGTCCGAAAGCCAACACTCTATCCACTGAGCCAAACCGGCCAGAGCTAAGTGATCTTTCTAATTTCCTTTCTTGCCTCCACACTGTCTCTTTCAAGGAGGAATTACTGAACCAGGAATATTGGTTTTAGAATCTATACATTTCTGAAAAGACTTTTCTGCATGGATCTCTCCTCCTGAATCACCTCAGTAAACCCAGAAGCATGGATCCCCCCAGAACGTCGATGTAGATCAGAATGTTTAAAATTTTCTCAAGGGCTATGGGACGATGAGATCTTTATGCCACGTATTAAACAAAAACCAGGTGTGTTTTTTTTTAATGTATGATTTTTTATTTTAGAGGGAGAGAAACGTCGATTTGTTGGCCCACTTATCTAAGCATTCATTCAGGGATCAAACCCGCAACCTTGGCGTATCGGGGTGATGCTCTAACCAACTGAGCTACCCAGCCGGGGCCTCAAACAAAAATCTAATGAAAAGCACACCTGCGTGCGGGTGGGTAAGACAGCACGTTCCTTACCTATCCCTCGGGGTATCTCTGAAATCGTGTTTCGAGATAAATCTAACACAATGAGGTTCTGGAATCTTCCGATGAACTCAGGGATTTTCAACAAACCAGTTCTGTGCAGCTGCCACTCCTGTAGCTGATTCAGTTTCAGGAGAGAAGAAGGAAGGGTCTGAGTCGAGAGAAAGGAAAGACAGGATGTTACTCCATCATCACTCCGTGTCCTGCCGCACGGAAGTGGGGTTGTAGAGGTAGTGTTGCATCTGTGAACAAACCTTAGAAAGTGGGTGATCTTTCCAGTGCTTTATGTTACTCACTTTTTGGGGGGCTGTGTGTGTGCCTGTGTGTGTATATGAGAGTTAGTGGACCTGATAAAACAATAATATCCATTCCCATTTTGTGCAGTTTTAACTGAGTTATTTGCTTCAGAAACGCTATGTGATTTTCAGTAGGCAGATGGTCATCCTTTATTTTAAAAAAATGAGAAATTAATTCTGAAAAGGATTAGAAGAAGAAATACTACAAATGATTTAAGTTTACGCAGAGGAGAAGCAAATTGAGTTTTTGCAGACACACACACACAAAAACCGTGACATTATATTTCTTCTCAGCTGTTCATTCCTTTGGGTATGTTATTAAAATTAGAATTTCTTAACTAATTCCAGTCTTAATGACCCAGTCTCAGAATCATCCTCCTGCGAAAAGCAGAATGTGGACAAACCACCGAGAATTACCTGCCACGCTTACCTTCCACTCCTCCTGCTCTATCTTCAAAATAACTCTGCCGCTTTCCCTGGTGACCTTCTCCTTCAGCCTCGTCAAGGTGACCCGCTCCTCCCAGATCCGCACAAGCCTGGCAGACAGGAAGCCCCTTAGCTCACAGGCCGGGACAGAGGCCACACTCACCTTCCTATTCAACCGGTCAGAGCAGACATCACACTGGATGTTAGCCAGAGCATTCACTCTTCTATCGAGAAGGGCCCTTCAACAACTGATCAGCAGTGTCTGGAGAGCGAACAAGAACTTATTTTGTAAGGATGTTAAATATGATCAGTATCACAAATGCTTTGTTTTTTTGTTTTTGTTTTTGTTTTTAAATATATTTTATTAATTTTTCACAGAGAAGAAGAGAGAGGGATGGAGAGTTAGAAACATCGATGAGAGAGAAACATCGATGAGCTGCCTCTTGCACATCTCCTACTGGGGATGTGCCCGCAACCCAGGTACATGCCCTTGGCCGAAATCGAACCTGGGACCTTTCAGTCCGCAGGCCGACGCTCTATCCACTGAGCCAAACCAGTCAGGGCACAAATGCTTTGTTTTTACGTCTTTGAAAAGTATCGTAACTCCCCATGAATTTGTTCTAGCGGCTTTATGGAGACATAGCTTAGTGCCATAAGCCGAACCCTTTTACAGTGCAACTCAGCGGTTTGGGTATATGCACAGAGCTGTGCAACCATCTAATCCAAAACACTGAAGCAGTCATCAGAGAATGGAGGTTTAAAACATTTGAATATTTCTTGGCCAAAATCTCTTGACATCTGGGAGGTAAGATATAGTCTTAACAGTTTTGCCTATTAACTGATCTTCAGCAAGGGTTTTATTTTAATGCACAGAAACCCAAATATCTCTAAAAGTGTAATATTTGCTGTTTGTGTTTGTAAAATATTTCTGTAGAGTCTGTATATTTTCATCTGCGACTTGCCTAAGATTTAACTAATCAGCTAACAAGGGAATGTCGGTGTGTGTGGCCTTCTAGACTGAACAGCTGAGCTCCTGATTGACAATGAAATTGTTTTAAGATTAAAATTAAGAGAAAATTTACATTTTGCAAATTCCAAGTAAAGATTCTAGCTAGAACTAAAAGCTAATTTTGGTCTAGGTGTGAAAAAAGATAGGCATTTTCCCTAAATTTATCAAATGGTATCTGATTTTCTTTTCCCCTAAAGATGGTCAGAAACCTCTAATATGGCTTATAGTAATTATAGCTGTTAGCATAAGTGTTGTCTGTAACCCCAGGGCAGAATCTGGGGGTGGCTTGTCCTTAGCGCGCCCTGGTGCTCAGGCCAGGTGACGGACAGGTTGGTGCATGCATGAATGAATGTCCCCAGGGGCTGACCTAAGTAAGGCCAGAGCGGAGTCTAGATGTAACCTTAGTGATGGAGGAGGGGTGCATAACAACTTTTAGAATTTACATTTTACTAACATTTACTCCCTCCCCATCACAATCTAGTCATGAAGCCGAAAAAGAAGACACGGTAGGGGAAAATACTAGTAATTCACACTCCTTACTCTTGCACAGAGAGAACTCAGAGCTGCTGCAATAAATGATTCTTGACGAGACCCAGGTCATAGGTGAAATTCAAGAGTTTAGAACAGGGGTGGGCAAACTTATTGACTCGAGGGCCACAATGGGTTCTTAAACCGGACCGGAGGGCCGGAACAAAAGCATGGATGGAGTGTTTGTGTGAACTAATATAAATTCAAAGTAAACATCATTACATAAAAGGGTACGGTCTTTTTTTTTTTTTTTTTTTTTTTTAGTTTTATTTATTTCAAACGGGCCGGATCCGGCCCACGGGCCGTAGTTTGCCCACGGCTGGTTTAGAACCACGCCATGATGCCTGGCCACTGTTTTAAAAACGAGTAGGATTTATTACGAGTGCGGTAAAGTCAACTTGATCAGAAGTGTGTACCCTAAACAAGGGGTTTCACAGAGGAGCTCCCTAGACAGAGCCAACCTAGGGCAGTGGGAGACCTGGGGTCGAGGTAATGCACAGGGCGTCGGACTGCGTGAGTGTGAATACCGCTTCCACACTTGTTAGCAACGTGATCTTTGACAAGTGACTGATGCCTGTCCCTTGGGTTTCCCATCTTGAAAATGGAGAAAATAATAGGACCCATGGGTGACAGCGACTGCTTATCGTCCCCAGTATCTGTTACCCCTCTTCTTCCTCAGTAACAGATCCTCTAAATGTAAGTGGGCACAAGATGTCATTGGGCCATCCCCCCCCTTGCAGCCAGATACGCGTCATGGGAAGCCTTGGCCCATGGGGTGCTGGCAGGAGCAGGGAGTGTATTTGCCCGCTGGCCGGAGTCCAATCCCCTGGCTGCAGTTGGTGTTTCTATTTGGGGCCTTGGGGTGACTGCAAGAATGAAAGCCACGCACAGTTGAGCAACAAGGTAGACGCCGGAGATGTGACTCAGTGGCTGCTCTTCCAGCCCTGGGTCCCTTCACCCGGAAAAGTGGACATTCTGGTTTAAGGCACTAGGATGCTGGTTTTCCTCCTCAGAGGAGGCTGTGTTTCAGCATGTTGAGAGGATCACGTGAGGTGGTGCAAAAACGTGGTGGTGCTCACAGCGTGCCTAGTAAGCAGTGGGTGCACAGCGAGGGCTGCCACCCTCATCACTGCCAGCAGCATCATTATCTCTCCTGGCTTTGGTTGGGAGAATGGCTCCTCCCCATGCTTTTAGGGACAGTTATCAGACACCTGTAGTTGCTTATCAATAATCTTTTCCTCCTCTTCTTTGCTGGGAGAATACCTGTTATTTTCAACCGTCTACACTTCCCCCAAGTAACCCAGGTATACCAGTAAGCCTTAATTTGTCTGAATCAATCATACAGTCTCATTTCAGAGAAGGTAACTGGATGAGGGGTGTACACATGACCCAATCCTGGCCAACAAAGAAATAGAAATACTTTCCATTCTTCCCTTCTCTTCTCTGGTGCCCAGCTATGAGGCCTGGGAGTGTAGTCATCCTGTGACATTTCGGGGAGCTCAGCGGAGATGGGCAGTGGAAGGTGACAAGAGAAGCTGACTCTACAAGGCTGTTGGCGTTTTGCAAGTGCCTCACCTCAGGACTTTCTTCCCGCTTATGCCGTTTTCGGTTGCATTTTCTGTTATTTGCTAACTAACACAAGCCCGTGCAGTGCTTAGAAAGAGGACTGGAGAGTGGAGCTATGGGGAATCAGTGAGGAAAGGGCTCTCCTTGCAAGAATAGCAGCGCACTGGAGACATGCAGTGGGGAAAGCAGGCAGATACCGAGAAGGCAGATGAGAACCAAATGACTTAACTATAGCCAAATCTAGGAGTCAGGGGATTCTTGGAGGCCCTGGCTGGAGCTCACTGCTATTGAAACAGGTGAGAGTCGACAGAGCCTTCTGCCAGATGTTGTTTTATTTTTTAAAATATATTTTCATTGATTTCAGAGAGGAAGGGAGAGGGAGAGAAAGAGAGAAACAGCTCTCATCGTGATGAGAGGGTCATTGACCGGCTGCCTCCTGCACGCCCCGCCCCCCGGGAATCCAGCCCTCAACCTAAGCCAGTGATGGCGAACCTTTTGAGCTCGGCGTGTCAGCATTTTGAAAAACCCTAACTTAACTCTGGTGCTGTGTCACATATAGAAATTTTTTGATCTTTGCAAGCATAATAAAACAAAGACTTATATTTTTGATATTTATTTTATAGATTTAAATGCCATTTAACAAAGAAAAATCAACCAAAAAAATGAGTTCGCGTGTCACCTCTGACACACGTATCATAGGTTCGCCATCACTGACCTAAGCATATGCCCTGACCGGGAATCAAACCATGATCTTCTGGTTCATAGATCAACACCCAACCACTGAGCCCCGCTGGCCAGGCCGGATGTTGCTTTAGACCCTAGGGGATATGGTGTTGAGCAAACAATCACTGACAAGTAGACTAAATGGTACTCATCAAACTTTGGTGAATGTTGAGCAGAGTCCTCTGGGGACCCAGGGGAACTAGCGTTCTCACAGAGAGACCTTGTGTTTTCCGAGCCCCCGTCACACGGCCACTCTTGATTGAGTTGGGTGTCTGCTTTGGGTATGTGTTGAGGTTTCAATAAATAAACATCTCTATCAAATTCAATACTAAGGCCTGTAACAAATGCTCTTTCCTATAAGGATGCCATGAATTTCCGCTCATTCAAAAGAATAAAGGAAGTATAGCCTACTTCTGTTTAAACTCCTTCTCTCGCTTCAGGTCTTCCGTGAGTATCTGTATCCTCTTCTCCCACACTTCCTTCACGGCGTTGACAGCCCCGGCGCAAACCCCGTTCCCTGACATGGTTTCTCCACATTGTCACAGAGTCCCCAGCTTCCTTAGGTTTAAATGGCGGGATCACAGGTGCGTCTCAGAAAGGACCTGATTGTACCAGAGGAGGAAAGAAATGCATTTCAGAATGCTCACTGAGTACATCATGATCAAATAGCATATATATATATATATATATATATATATATATATATATATATATATATATATAAATATATTTTTTATTGATCTCAGAGAGGAAGGGAGAGGGAGAGAGAGAGATAGAAACATCAATGATGAGAGAGAATCACTGATAGGCTACCTCCTGTACGCCCCCTACCGGGGATGGAGCCTGCAACCCAGGCATGTGCCCTTGACTGGAATCAAACCCGGGACCCTTCACTTTGCCGGCCGACTCTCTATCCACTGAGCCAAACCAGCTAGGGCTGCTTTTCATTATTAATTGCCTCTACATTATTGATTTCTTTAAAGAAGAAGTGTGCAGTATGTGTGGTAAGAGAGACCAAGACAGACAAATAATTGATAACTAATTGCCAATATGCAGAAAACCCTAAGGAGAGGGTCTCTGTTTCTAAGCAACGCCCGCAGAACCCACACAGGGGAGCTTGTGGGATCTTGTGCCATTTAGAAACCTTGGGATACAAGTGCTTAGAATCCCACCACCCGGCTCTATCACAGTCAACCTGCAATTTGTCTCAGAGGTGAGCCAGTCTGAAGTATTTGCCTATCAGACAACAAAGTATTTATTAAAATCCCAAGTATCTACATGTAAATGTACGTTTTACTAGACTTGCATGGGCTCACTCATTTCCTCATCTGCCGTCAATGTGGGGCACCTTCAGTTGTCCGGTAACAGCGCGGCCACGTTCCCTAGGACTGCGGTCTCCTCCTAGCTTATCCCCTGACAGGCCAGCGCGGTGCCTGGCCGGACCGCAGTGCCGAGACCAGGAACCTCAGCTTCCCACAGTCAAAAGGAGAGAAATACAACCTCAAAGCAAACGCTCCTGAACCCTCCGGAGAAGGACAATCACACGAGTGACCAGGAACCCCCAGAGTCATTTAGATCCAGTTCCAAGTTCAGGTGTACATTCTGGCCAACACAGGCACAGTAAAGGCACCATCAGCAGCAGCAACCTATTTATATGTGAAGGAGGAGAAAAAACATTTTTTTAAAAAGACTTACCATCATCGGTGGTGACAGAAGCTGACATGCCCCACGCTAGCGGTGACCAGCTGAGGGTATGGCAAGGGGACCCGTCTCCAGCGTGGCTCTGAGTGAGTGAGCCCTGAGTCAGGCTGTCACCGAGTGAGAGGCAATGTCAGCCTAGTTCTAAATTTAGTTCACGGGCAAAGCTGAGAATAGCAGGGACCACGTGGAGCTTCTGAAGCATCAGCAGGTGACGATGTGAGTGCGTTCCCAGTGCAGCAGGACGCCGAGCCGCGGGCATCACAGAGCAGCAGGCCTGCCTCCTCCTGCGCTCCGAGAAGAGTGCCCGCTGAGAGTCCTTCCGCTTTCTGTGACTTCCACATTGTCAGTATTTAATGTAATTTCAAATATATGTATTTTATTGATTTCAGAGAGGGCGGGAGAGGGAGAGAGAGACACATCAGTTGAGAGAGAATTATCAATCAGCTGCCTCCTGCACGCCCCCAACTGGGGATTGAGCCTGCAACCCGGGCATGTGTCCTTGACTGGAGTCAAACCCGGGACCCTTCAATCTGCAGGCCGACGCTCTATCCACTGAGCCAAACCGGCTGGGGCTAATATAATTAATATATATATGTATGTTTATTGATTTCAGAGAGGAAGGGAGAGGGAGAGAGAGATAGAAACATCAATGATGAGAAAGAATCATGGACCAGCTGCCTCCAGCACACCCCTGACTGGGGATGGAGTTCACAACCCGGGCATGTGCCCCGACCGGGAATGGAACCGTGACCTCCTGGTTCATAGGTCGACGCTCAGCCCTGAGCCGCGCCAGCCGAGTGATAACGCTGTTCTCCGGAATCTATCTGCGCAGTCTCTGCTGCAAAACCTTTCCTCATTTTCCTTTGCCTCTGACCTCCCTCCAACCTCTTATCTAGTCACCACCTTTGGACCCACCTCAGCCACCCTCAGCCTCCGAGACCAGCCAACCCCGTTTTCTGACCTTAACTCCTTATTGCCCAGCAGCCGTGAACTCCAAAATTTATCAGAGTTATTCCCCGAGGAGGTGGAGGCCCCGTCAGCTGCCTGCCACCCACCTCTGCGGCCTCCACACCCACCTCCCTCTGGGCTTCCGTGTCCACCGCCAGGATATGGCTTTGGGGGGCGCGGGCTGTTTCTTCCGAGAGTCGAGAGTCGAGGAGAGGCCTAGGGCGCCCAGCGTCCCTTAAAGATGCAAAACCAGCGTGGCGGCTGCTTCCCTTCCCGGGCGTGCCACAGCCTCCCCAGGTGAGTGGGTGACACTAGGACGCCTGGAAGGACGCCTGGAAGCCGCGGGGCCTTGGAGAGGAGCCTGACCAGGCCCCCGTGGACCCTCAGGCTGTTCCTCCCTGCAGAACCACTTCCGGGGCGGAGGTGACCCTCATCAGGAAGGTGGGCAGCACCTGGCTCACCTCCCAGGCGGCCCCAGGCTGGCCTTGGCGAGCGGCTCTTCCTCTCTTCCACCGGCCGGCGTGACTCAGTGGTTGAGCGTTGACCTAGGAACCAGGAGGTCACGGTTCTATTCTAGTCAAGGGCACAGGCCCGGGTTGTGGGCTCCATCCCCAGTGTGGGGCGTGTAGGAGGCAGCCAATCAGTGATTCTCTCTCATCATTGATGTTTCTATCTCTCTCCCTCTCCCTTCCTCTCTGAAATCAATAACAACAATTTTATATATATTTGTATCTATCTATCTATCTACTCAGTATAATATTTTTTAAAAAATGGGAATGCCTTGCATTTACATATCCATGTTTCTAATATTCACCAGCTTATGCGGGGAACGAGTGCCGTAAGTGACAGTGGCGGTTTGAAAAAATCAGGCCCCTCTGTGACAGTTTGTCCTGCGCCGTCTGAGCAGCACTGGAGCCGAGCGGCCCTTCTAGTCCTGCGCCAGGGCCACGGGCCACGGGCCACGGGCCACGGCCGGGCCACGTGCCATCGGACGCCCCTGTCCGCAGCCTTGGGAGTGTGGTGCCCGGCCCGGGCCTGCTCCCGGTCCCCCTGGAACAGCTAATGTCCCCAATCGCCTGACTTACATGCGTCCCTGCAGGTGGACTTAACTGGGTCGCACCTGCCATCCGCGTCACTGGCCTCTGCTCCCGCGGTTGGCACTCTGGCTGCATTTTTCCAGGAAATTAAATCGCTAGGTTTTTCCAGGTGGTTGCACTCTTGTGACTCCTGTACGGACTTTACAGCCTTGATTTTTTTTTTAAATGTTCTTTTTAAATCACATTTTCCGAACTACTCTCCCGCTTAGGACTTCCCTCTCCGTGTTTTAGAACCGTTTCTCTGTAAGTGGAGCATATTCAGGACCTTCTTGCAGGAAACTCCGTGTGACGCAGAGGTGAAGGGTGCTGCCTCCTCCGCAGGCTGAGACGAGGGTGACCCTTCTTGGACTGTCCCGACTCTCCCCAGATCTAACTAAATCCTGCCCCGTTTGCATGGCTCTGCTGGCTGTCAGGCCGCCCACAGCCGCCCACGCCCTGCCTGCTGACACGCCTCGTGGTGCCGAGGAGCAGCCGAGGGAGGGAGGGAGGGAGGCCTTTTGAACAGCTGCAGCTGTGCTCGTCACGGGTCTGATGTGTCTGTGGCTCTGGTCTGGGCCGTCTCCAGTGTCCCCTGCTCAGCGAGGGCGAGTGGCCTGCCTTCTGCCCTGGGGCCACCAGCATGTGTGTTGGTGTGTGGCCAGGCCCTGTGCTCGGTCCTGGGGCTGCCTCGCCTCGGGATCGATCCATCTCCGTTGCATTCAGAGCTGGCAGACCTCCAGGCGTGTGTTCCCTTAGATCGGCGGTTCTCAACCTGTGGGTCGCCAGCCTGTGGGTCGTGACCCCTTTGGGGGTCGAACGACCCTTTCACAGGGGTCGCCTAAGACCACCGGAAAACACATATATAATTACATATTGTTTTTGTGATTAATCACTATGCTTCAATTATGTTCAATTTGTAACGATGAAAATACATCCTGCATATCAGATATTTACATTATGATTCATAACAGTAGCAAAATTAGTTATGAAGTAGCCACGAAAATAATTTTATGGTTGGGGGTCACCACAACACGAGGAACTATATTGAAGGGTCGCGGCGTTAGAAGGGTGAGAACCACTGCTTTAGATGGTGGTGTGTCCAATACCGTAAATAAGCCCTCTGGTCACTTCGATGGCGAAGGAGAACATGAGCCATGTCAGGTTCGGCACCAATTATTCAGAGTTGGCTGCCCCCTTTTTCCTCAGACGTCAGCACAGAGGCCCACTCTGGCTTCTCCCCTTAATGTCAACCTCTAGGAATACAGCAAAGCCTTGCGGGCCCACCGCCCTCCCGATGGTGCCCCTGGCCTGGTACTGTAGCCATGTAATATTGAAATGTATAATAAACACACACAATAGAACACTTTGCAGCCATTTAAATGTATGATAATGTAGAAGTGTTTATTGACATCTAAAGTTACCTATATGTTAAATTTAAAAAAATTATAAAATAGTATAGTATGACCCCATTTTTATAAAGAATTGCTATGTATATAGATACATTGTCAACATGTTCATAGTGGTAGGATTATGGATGCTTTGTTTTCTTTGCAACTCTTCATATTATCTGAATTTAAAAATATAACAACATTCAGTTGATTCATTAACTTATTTTTCTTTATTATTTATTGATTTTTAGAGAGAGGAAGGGGGAAAGAAAGAGAGGGAAACATCGATTTGTTCCACTGACTTATGCATTCATTGGCTGCCTCTTGCACGTACCCTGACCGGGGATTGAACCCACAACCTTGGTGTATGGGGACAATGCTCCAACCAACTGAGCTCCCTGGCCAGGGCCAAGCTCTTGTTTTCTAATTTAAACATTACTTCCATTATTAACATGTATAATCAAGTACATGTTAAAACAATTTTTTTCTAACATGTAACACTTGGAAGTTCTTTAGACATTTGCAACAACTAAATTTCTGAATCAAATCACAATGTTGGATTGTGTTCATCATGATGCTATTTCTGATTAAAGTAGGCCTCTACCCAATGATATCTTCATTTTTATATGACATTTATTTTAATGTCCATAATTACCCATTTGACTCCTCTCTCTCTCTCTTACTCTGTCCTCTTCTTTCCTAAATACTTTTTATTTCAGAGAGGAAAGGAGAGGGAGAGAGAAAGCATCAGTGATGAGAGAGAATCATCAACCGGCTGCCTCCTGTCTGCCCTACGTTGGGACGGCAGCCTGGGCGTGTATCCTGACTGGGGTTAACCATGACCTTCTGGTTCGTAGGTCGACACTCAACCACTGAGCCACACCAACTGGATGGCTCTCTCTCTTCACTGGTTATAAACTGTAACTGGGCATTAAGATCCACTTACAATCTCCCCCTTTAAAAGATACTAATTTACATAAATAAGGCATTGCCGACGATGACCTTTGCACAGTAACATACCCCTGGGTATCTTAGATCCAAAGTATAATTGCACTTAGTTTATACAGCAATTGCATTACTGTGGGGAATGGAAGGTATTTTTGTACACAGTCCTTTTCCCTACTTAGTGTAATCAAAAAGTTTCACTGAGTCAGTTTAAGAGAAGAGAAGGGAAGGAATAGGGCAGATACTATCTATGGCTACCTGTCTTCCAGGGACACGAATTGTGTTGTTCTTGGCAGTTTCAATCCATTGACACAGCGGCCTCAGCACCATTAAGAACTAACACCATGACCTATACAATGTGACTACAGCCGCGGAAGAACCAGCCCACTGTTCCTCGCTTGCAGGAGAGGGTATCAGAGCAGGGGTAAGCGCGGCGCCTCAGAATTTAATCATCCAACACAACGGGCACGACACGGACTGTCAGGGGCGGCACGGCGAGGCTCTATTCTCTTTGGAAGCCCCAACAGCTGGGGGCGTCCGGTCTTCACTTCAGGTCCAGCAGCATGGACGCTGGGTTTTCCAAGTAGGACTTCCACAGGTTGGAGAAGCGCGACATGGTGGCCCCGTCGATGACTCTGTGATCGGCCGACCAGCTCACGTTCATGATCTGCGCCTTATACACGTCTCCCTTCTGGTTGAACCGAGGAAGGGCCTGGAAACACAGAAAGAGGGCGTCAGCTTTCGCCGCGCAGAGCAGGAGACGGAGCAGGAGACCGGAGACACTGTGC